TGCTGTTGACCCGGGCGGGGCGGGGCGGTGTCCCTTGAGGTCTCTGGAAGGACAACAAGCAGGGCACACACGGCGCCCATGTGCACTGCACGACGCCGTGCTGGAAGTTCAACTGGCGCAGCTTCCCAGTGGAGAGAACTGCAAAGCGCGTTATGGATCGGAGGAACTTGGTTTTGTTGGAACACGGAACTCATCTTCTCGTGTTTCTTTCGTGTTTGTAAACCTGCGGATGCGGCCCGCCCGGCTAGTCGCCGCGTTATGGAAGCTGGGCCGGCTGAATGACGCAGGGAGTAGTGCCGTGCGTGTGCGTGACGCCCCGTTAATTTGGCTAAACCGAGTAATAAGAACGCTTCCTCTTTCTGCTGCTTCCAAGGCGGGCGGGGGCGGGGCCGGCCAGCGCGCCGTCTGCCGAAAACGCGAGCCTCGTGACGTAAAGCTGACGTGCCGCCGACGTGCCGGCCGGGGTTTTGCCTCGTTTGGGTTTTTTTGCTCTGCTTTTGGGGCGAGAGGGCCTGGGCCCTGGGCCGCGTCCAAGCGCACCGTCTGGGCAGGGCGCTGCACAGTGAGCCAGAAGACCGGTGGAGGCGGACAAAACTCTAGGCGCGTTTTGAGCTCCAGAGTCGCTGAATGGGACTCGAACCGAACGTGTGACCCCCACCAATGGATTCCTCGTTCGGAGAGCAATCCATTGGTGGGGTCACAAGCTTGGTTCGAGTCCTGTTTAGCGACTCGTGAGCTCAAATCACGTCCAGAGTTTTGGCCGCCTGCGCCGGACTGCTGGCCCACTGTGCGCCGCACTGTCCGGGCGCCGCCCTGTCTGGAACTCTCTGGAGACGGCGCCGCGGCACTGCACTGGGCTGCCTCCGCGGCGGTCAGGCGGACCGGGCGGGCCTAGCCCACTAGAAAGGCTGGGCGCGGCAGGCCGTGGGCCGCGCTAACCGGGTGACCCGGGCAGGGCACGGCAGGGCGTTTGGCAGGGCGGCGGGTGCTGGACATTTGTTGACATACATCTTGGCAGTGGCTCGCAGTGGCGCGGCGCGGCGCGGGCCGATGGCTGGGTGCCGAGGATCCCATCCCCCGCACGCGCCGCTGTTATTGTGATGCCCCCCCCCCTCCCCGCCACGCGGCGGCCGCTGCATATAAAGGCTGGGAGGCGGCGGGCGCGGCGGGCCCATCCTGTTGAATGCAAATGTAACTGCAGTTTGTTGTTAATCGACGAGGCGCGAGCGCGCGCCGGCCGGGCCGAAATGCGCGCGGCGCGTCTGTGACGCGTCCGTGGCTCGTCCCCACGACGACGGCGGCGACGCAGGTGTCGCGCAGGTGTCCCCGGCGCCTTGGCGGACGCCTCCACGGCGCTGGGCTGGGCGGCTGCGGCTGCGTCACGCCGGCGCGGCGAGCGAGCGCGAATCCCTGCGACCGAGTCGGACCGGCTGCAAGAAGGGGCCGGCCCACTAGTTGGTGCGGAACGCGGTGGCGGCGTGGCGGTCGGGCCGCTGCCCCCGTCCGCCGTTCGCCCGTTCGCCGCCACTACACTCGCCCCGGGACATCCTGCCCGCCGTGTGTGTGTGTGTGTGTGTGTGTGTGTGTGTGTGTGTGTGTGTGTGTGTGTGTGTGTGTGTGTGTGTGTGAGTTGCCGTAAATCTGGCGTCTCGTTGCGCTGTCTGGGCTGTCGGGCCGGTGGTGGCAAAGTAATGCCCCCCGCCGCGCCCCAAAACGATCCCTCTTTTTCTCGTCGGCCTGGGCAGGGCTGGGCTGGCTGGGCTGCAGACTGATTCCGAGAGTCGTTCTCATCGCTCTGTCCTTATCGCACTCATACGGGACGCCCCATGAGTGCGAGGGAGACTGAGCGACGAAAACGACTCTCGGAATGAGTCTGCTGGGCTGGCGGCGACGCGTGTGTGTCACGGCCTGCACGGGAGCGGGCGGCCGGCGCCCACGCGTGTGCGGCACACTGTGTGCGTGCGTCCGCGCGTGTGGCGCGCGATTTGCCCGCGCCATTTGCCCGCGCCATCCCAGTCGCGAATAAACACGCGTCGTCTCGATCGCGGCTCGCGGCCTTTGTCCAACCGTAACGCGGCATACCCCCCCCCCCCCCCCCCCGGACCGCCAGGATGGGGCTCCATCTCGTAAACCGCCGGAGTTACAAGCGTTACGGCAGGTCGATGTGTTTTCCAATTGGGATTCCGATTTTATCCTCGTCTGGATGGCGTCGCGGCGTTCGCGCGCGGTGCTTGTCGTTGGCCTGCCTGGTGACTTGCACGCGCGTGCGGGCGCGGGGCGTTGGTGTTTTGGTCTTGGCCGCGGTGCCTGGCAGGGTATGTAGCGAGCGCGCCGCGGCAGGGCAGGGCAGGGCAGGGCTCGGTCGGCCGGGCCCCGTTACAGAGTACCGATATCGGGAGCGGTGCGCGGTGCGGGTATCAGGTGCCGGCCGCGGGTACCGCGGTACCGCTTGGCCGAGCGCCGCGGCGCCGGCGTCCACGTCCACCCTGGCGTCCGGTGTCCGCGAGGTCGCCGCGGCCACGCCGACGAGACGACGCACTCGTGCGCGCCGCGCCGGGCCTACGCGACTCGCGGCTCGGCTGCGCGCGGGGCGGGCAGGCGGGGGTCTTTCTGGCCGCGGTTCCTCGTCGCCCTGCCGCGCGCTGCACGGCGGGGCGGACTGGCGCGGCCGAGGAAAGAAGAAAAACAGTTTGATGAATTGAAATGCGCGGCCTCGCGGCTGGCGTCGCGTTGCCTCGCCACGCCTTGCCACGCCACGCCTTGCCACGCCCCCGACATGGAAACGAATCCGTAAAGATGAGCGATTCCCGTGGCGGCCGCGGTGACGTTCCGCTTTGCATTTTCCTGGAGAAGAAATGTCAGGCGTCCGTGTGGCGTGGCGTGGCGAGGTCGCGGCGAGGCCGGTCAGCCAGCAGGCCCGCGTGCGAGGGGCGCCACGAGAGACAGGGAAGAGAAGGCTTGCGGGCGGGCCGGCGGTGCGAGTGAGACGCGGCGTCTTGTTTGTGTCGCCGCGGACGCGGCCGCGTCGGCCGGAGGACGGACATTCCGGAGGCTCCAGGCCGCCACTGCCCCGCCACTGGCCCGCCCACGCGCACCCCGGACCACGGACCGCGGCGTGGCGGGCGACCCAGTACGCCCAGTACCCAGTGGGCAGGGATATGGCTCAAGGTCGCGCTGCGGTGCGCGGTGCGCGGTGCGGTCGCCGCCAGGGCCCGCTCTTTCGCTTCACCCTTTGGCCGTCCCTGTCCGCCCTGCCGGCCGGTATCGACTCGTTCCGCTGCTCACGCCATTTGGTGAAAATAGAGACTTGAGGCGGCTTGAGCGGCCAGCACGCGACCGCGGTCGGACGCATGCAGAATGAATGGCGGCCGAACCGAACGCTTCCGAATGGAGCTTTCGTCGCTCTGTCTCTCTCGCACCAGTGCCATGTGGTGGCCGACGGCACGCCGACGGCAGGCCGCGGTGCTCTCCTTGATCTGCCACCGCGCGCTCCCGGCCGTCACGAACACGCGCTCCGTTCGCGGGGCATTTCGTGCGCGTGGTTGACGGACGCGCGGTTTCACACATTCGTTAGCTCGCGTTTGAATTATGCATGCGCTGAGGACAAAAAGCGGGCGATAATTTAGTGTGGCCGCCCTTCGGTTGTGTCCGTCTATTCTCCGTCCGTGCGTTTCGGCCGTGGCCAGGCTGCCGGCTGACCGTGTGGGCGGGGCGGCGGGGCTGTTCCCGCCACGCGATGATTTCTGTTGTCGTTTTTCGAGCGGGCAGCCGGCTGCTCCTTATTGAGTCGCAGTGCATGTGACGTCCGCCCGCTGCAGCCTGCTCTGCCTGCAGCGCGCTGCCGTGATGCCGCGATGCATATGCAAGCGGCCAGCCCGTTAGTCCCGTCTCTCTCTCTCTCTCTCTCTCTGTCTGTCTGTCTCTCGCCCTGTCGCTCTCCCGCTGCGCCGCCCCGCCCCGTGTCACTGTTTTGACGTTTGCTTGCTCGTTAGGCCGCGGGGACACGCGGCGCCGCGGGGCGGGGCACGGGCACGGTGGAGGCGAAGTGGCGCGCTCTTTAGGCGGAACAAAAAAAAACTGGTGAATACACCAGGAAGTGCCCCGTCGCCGCGGGCACACTGTGGCTGCTGTGGCACTGGATCGAGGAGTCAGGCGTGCCCAGCAAACAGCGTCTTTGAGAGCGAGTGCCGTGCGGTACCGGCGCGCGGCCTTGGCGCCGGCGCCGTGCCCTCCTCCTTCGACACGCCCTCCTTCGCCTCGGCCGTCATCGGCTGGGCTGGACGCGCGCCGAGCCGCTTGGGCAACGCCGGGCAACGCGGGGCAACGCGCACCGCGAGATGCTATCGGCCCGAGGCGCTTCTTCGAGTCCATTGAGTTTCGGAGGCGCGGCGAACGGCCTTGCCCCGCGGCCAGGCCGTGCGCGCGCCTCGGTGCGCGCCGTGCTGGCGGTGGCCGTCGTCGCCGTGCCCACTTGCATCAGCTGCACAGCGTTGCACGGCGCGGCGCGGCGCGCTAAACGCGGTGCTGCTCGGTGTCTTCTTTTTTGTGCTCGCCGCGCCTCCTGTACTCATGGGTACCGTCAGCGGCGGAATACGAAACGAACGCCGCGGTGGGGCGGGGCGCGGGGCGCGGGGCGCGGCCCGCGGAGGAGGTGTGAATCCTCGTGACCTTGGTGCTCGCGGCGAAGGTGAGGAGGTCCAGTCTCCCTGCGCAGCAGCCAGCGGCAGCAGCTGGACTATACGACGGACGACTACGTGCTACGTGCGCACCGTGACGTGTTGCGGCGTGGTCCCGGGGCCCACCGCAGCCTGCCCGCCGCGCCACCAGATCCGCTTAGAAGTTTAGTAGGGATAGCCTGAGGTCGGCTCTGCGCCGCGACACTGACGTGTGCGTGAGTGAGTGTGTGTGATCCATCCACGCCAGCCATCCAGCCATCCATGCATCCAGCCTTGCGTCGCCCGCCCCGAGTGCGAGACAGAGGCTGACGTGCGTATTCGTAGGTGGCCCTGCCTGGCTGTGCCGACGAGCGCCATGAGTGACGATGTGACAACGTGACGCCGCCATGGGCATGCTGAGCGGAACCAGGTCCCCCTGCAGGGACAGGGAGACGCCGGCCTACGAGGTGAGTGAGTGAGCGCAGCCCAGCGCAGCCAGCCCCTTTCTCCCCGAGACTGTCGTGTACTACGGCGCACTGTACAGCGTACCGCGCACCCCGCGCTGCTTCCCGGCGCGTGCGTTTTGCCGCCGTTTTGCCTTGTTAATTGCCGCTGCCGTGCGTCGGCACCGTCGGCACGCACCGCGCCAGCCGCGCCGCCGAGCCGCCAAGGCGGTGCACTGGTTCTCCTGTTGCAGGAGTCCGGGGGCGTCTGCCTGTCTGCCTCTGGCCGGTGGCTCGCCAGGCCGGCCGGACAGAGCTCTGCGGGGACCGGGCACCGACCGGGCACCGGGCCGCGACCGACTAAGTGGCGCGTTACCAATCAATCGGCCCGTTAATAGTGTATCCCACCTCGTCGGCCCCCACCGGCCCGCCGTACCCGCACACAACGCGGGAAATTCGAAATGGTGCCGCCTGATGGGGTCTGGAAATTGGAGCGAGCCATGTTTGGCGGCGGCGGAATGTATCGGTTGCGTGTGGGATGGCGAGGCGGTGGCCGCCGGGCCCCCAGCAGCATGCAGGGCGGGGCGGGGCGGGGCGGGGCGGGGCGGGGCGGGGCGGGGCGGGGTCGGCCGACGCGCGCGTTTTGCGCGGGAAAACAGGGTGGCGGATGACGCTTTGCGCGCTGCCGCGCTTCGCGCACCTGCACCCGTGCGAGTGCATGTACAGACTCATTATCCCAGCGGGCCGGGCGGGCAGGCAGCAGCGCCTGCTGTGTGCCGCACTGTGTTTTGATTGATATCTCAAGTCTTCTGATTGGCCGACTGCGCGTCAGTGTGTGTGTGTGTGTCGGCGCTCTCAATAAATAATAACGCCAAGCCCCGCCCCTGCCGTAGTGTGCGGTAAGGAAAGACAGCAAACGCGTTGTGGTATGTGTGTGGTGCGCTGTGTGTGTGTGTACGTGACGTCACCATCCTGGCCGGGTCGCCCCCGTGGCCGCAGCGCCCCGCATGCCGCGCTGCGTACATTCTGCGTACCGCGGCACCGCGGCGGAACTTGCTAATGAACTCGAGACCAAATACGCGGCGCTCGGACTGTGCGGACTGCGCGAGTGGAGTGTCTTTGGCGGACGCTGGACACCCTCTCAAGAAAAGGCCTCGTTTTTGCTGTGCCCGGCTGTGCCGCTGCCCTGGCTTGCCGCAGGTGTTTCGCTCGGGTTTGCTTATCAGTTAACTGACGAGCGCGGCCTGTGTGTTCAGAAGGCGTCACAACACTCGTAAGGGGCCCCGACGGTGCTCCCGTATTGATGCACTTGTCGACTTCTTGGGCGTGGAGTGTTGTTACCAGAGAGGACAGCCTCCCCTTCGCCGCAAAGCGGGCCACAAGACGGGTCCGGTGGAGGCGGTCAAAGTCCCGGACGCATTTTGAGCTCCAGTCAGCAAATGGGACTCGAACCGAACGTGTGACCGACCCCACCAATGGATTCCTCGTTCGGAAGAGCAATCCATTGGTGGGATCACACGTTCGGTTCGATAGCTCTTTAGCGACTGTGGAGCTCAAAACACGTCTAGAGTTTTGGCCGCCTCCACCGCTCTTCTGGCCCACTGTGAAGCCGAATTGAAGTGCCTTTTGGCAGTCGCTGTGCAACACGCTGCTGCGTGCGGGCCGCCTCTCGAGTGACGTGCATTCTGCGTCGGACGGTAAGCGAGACGTCGGTATGTCGGTCAGGCGGTGCTGCTGCTGCGGCCGATGCCTGGCGGTACCTGGCGGCGCCTGGCGGCGCCTGGCTGACGCTCTCGGTGGCGTTGATGAACGTGCCGGCTGGCCCGGGCCTGTCCCTACATGGCGCCTGCCCCGCCCCGCCCCGCCCCACACGCATGCCGGAAGAAAGCGCGTCGTCGTTGTTAAAAACGGAGAGGTTCGCGGGGATTCGAACCCACGACGCCACGGCGGCGTCGGGTTACTAACGAGCCAGCGCTAGCGCGCCAGCGAGTCGAACGACTGCTGGGAATCGGAGGCGGAATCGCAAATGGCGGCCGGCGATGGCCGTGGGCCGGGTGGCCTGCCTGCAGACTCATTCCGAGAGTCGTTTTCGCCGCTCTGTCTCTCTCGCTCTCGTGGGCACCGTCCATAGGTGCGAGAGAGACAGAGCGACTCTGGGAATGAGTCTGCAGGCCGTGCTGGGGGGCTGGCGCATGCGAGGCGCGTGGCTGGCCTGACGAGCGCGAGCTCCGTTTGCTGGAGTGTGCTGCAGGTCACTGCAGGTGAGTCGCTACCTCGCGGTCCTAGGTGCTGGAACCTCGCCTCCAGCGTGAATTTCCATGGCGATCCTGAGAGAAGCGGCCCAACGCAATCGCTGTCTCTCTCGCACCCATACGGTGTGCACCAGGAGTGCGAGAGAGACAGTGTGACGAAAGCACACGACTGTTCGGGTTCCGTCAGCCCGGCGGGCCGGTACCGCTCACTCTCGGGGATCCTGGATCCTTGATGGCGGACCCGATAGCCTTATCGGCGGCCGAGCCGAGCCGGGCCGAGCCACGCTGCCATGCTAGAGCGGATGATTTGTGCCGGCGCTGACAGGAGGAGCGGAAAAAGTAAAAACAGGCTGCCGAGTCGTATCTGGCCATCGCGCATCGCCATGGCGCCGTGGTCACGTGGTCAACGCGCCGGGCAGTGCGGTGCAGTGTCGAGCACCTTCCCTGTGTGCACTGCACTGCACTGCGCTCGCTGTCCGCGGCCTTCCGCTCCAGGAGGCGCCCCACATTCCCTGTCATGAATATTGCAGAGGAGCCGCGGGCCCTTTCGCCCTTTCACTCTTCGCTTGCCTCACTTGCCGTGATTCGCGGTGACGGACTGGTTTTCCACTGTCGCGGCGATGTTGAACGCCTCGCGCGTGCACTCGACAAAGTTGCAACGAAATGGGACTACTACGCGCAGTGTGGGCCGGAAGACCGGCGCGGGTGGTCAAAACTCCAGACGCGTTTTGGGCGCCAGAGTCACTAAGCAGGACGCGAATCGAACGTGTGGCCCCACCATTGGATTCCTCGTTCGGAGAGCAATCCGTTGGTGGGGTCACACGTTCGGTTCGAGTCCCATTCAGCGACTCTGGGTCTGGGGCTCAAAACGCGTCCGGGATTGTGACCGCCTCCACCGGCCTTCTGGCCCACTGTGCTACGTCCAAAACGTGCCAGGGGACTGCATGCGTGTTCAAAATGGTTTGCACGTGCTCTCGGCTGCTGGCCTGGCAGGCCGGCCGGCCGTCCCGAAATGCATGTAACGCGTGTTTCCGCGGCGTAGATACGCCCTTCCTTCCGGCGGGCTGCGCCTTGGGCTGCGCGCCGCCGCACGTGTGTTTCGCTTATATGGCCCTCGGCTCGTCTTGGCTCGGCTCGCCCTCGACGCACTCGGTGTGCTGAAGCGCCTCGGGCCGCGCCGTGCGCCGCCTTGCGCCATGTCACGCCGCCTGGGCGGGAAAATGCGCCAGGCCAGCCAGGCCAGCCGGGCGGGCAGCCTTTACCGTCGCCCCGTCTCTCTCGCTCGCGCCGGTCTGGCCGGCTGGCCGTTGGGGCGCGAGAGAGACGGAAGACGGTGAGGCAACGTTCGGATTGAGTCTGCGCCCACTGCTTTCTGCCCTGGAAACACGCGTCGATCCCCGTTCGGCCGCGGTGTCGCAGTTTACGCGTTCGCACTGTCGGCGCTGTGTGCTGCAGCAGTCTCTCTCGCACCTTCACGAGACTCCCTGTGAGCGCGAGAGAGACGGAGCGATGGAAGACGCCCCGCGCGCCGTGCTGCAGGTGGGCTGGCTTGGCTGCGCTAGGCTGCGCCGTGCCGAGAGAGTGTTTTCTTCTCACTCGTTCTCGCCTCATAAATGCCGAGGAATGCTCCGTGCCTCGCAGCTCGCAGGCCATTTCCCTTCACTGCTAGGTGTCCGCGCGTTGCGACGCCTCGCGGTGCGTGGGTGGCGCGGCACGGCGCGGCACGGCGCGGCGTGGCCGATTCGAACCGCCGCCGCGTCTCCTGTCGCATGGGCGGACCGGGCGGGCGGACGGTCTAGCGCGCTATCTTCTGCTTTTAGAGGACAATGAATCATTTTCCTCAACGACAGCGGCACTGCAGATTAGCCGGGCCAGGATGGCCGGGATTTGCGGCCGATATTGCGGCACGGCGTCCGTCAATCGAGCGTCGCATCGCCGCCAATCGCCTCCCCCCTCTTTCTCCTCGGGGCCTGGGTGCTCTAATGTCTTCATAAGCGCGGCAGCGCGGCGTCAGTGGGTTCGTTCCGTTTTTTTACGGCTCGGTGTGGCCGCGGCCGTCTGCTTCGACGAAGCTCCCCGTGACGGCCGTGACGGCTGTCGGAGTGTCGGGGCGTTCGACGGCGTGGGCGCCACCCTCGCCCTGCCTCCCTTCCCAAGAGCCCCGCCAATTCGATTTCCAGTGACAGCGACAACGACGGTCACGGGAGCTGTGCCGGACTTCCCCGTCCATCTCCTTGACGGCGGCGTCCTCCCGGGGGCAGAGGCCGGAGGGCGGCCGCGGCGGTGCAAGCGGCCCGCGCCGAATCGCGTCATTCCGTTTTGTCTTTGTTTTGTTTGTTTTTCTCGATGGGCTCGCGTCGTGTCGGTTCATTGAGTCGCAGGACGCGCCGCGCGTCGTTTCCATGGCGACTAATTGCTGCGCGACGCGGCGCGGGGCGGCGCGGTGGGCTCGCAGGTGCTGGGTGTGGCGGAGCCAAGTCGGTGCCATTCCGCTCCGTGATATCTGAGTGCAAGTCGTCATGGGACGGCGCGTGGGCCGCGCGCTGAAAGCGACCTGGCTGGCCGCCTGCCTGCCTGCCTGCCTGCCTGTCCGGCTGGCTGCGCGGCACGGCGCGAGACGCGCGCAAAGGTTTCTGGTCACTTTTATCGGAAATGGGCGTGCGCTGCGTGCGCTGCGGGGGCGGTTCGTTTCCGGTTCCTTCCCACTGCCACTCACTGTTGTTGCCGTTCCGGCCGCGGCCGCCGTTTAGTGAGTCACTTCCGCAGCCACCGGCGCTGCAGCGCGGCCGCGTCGCCGGTGCGTTGTGGGGAGCGCCGGAGTGACCCCCGTCCGCGTGGTCGCCACCCTGCGGACGGACTCCTGCCCGCGGGTTCGAGTCCCGTTGAGCGCCGCGCCCGGCCTGCAGACTGCTTCCGAGGGTCGTTTTCGCCGCGCTGTCTCTCCCGCACCCATACGGGACCCACCATGAGTGCGAGAGAGACAGGGCGACTCTCGGAATCAATCTGCTGCGTGGCGGCCGCGGCGAGGCGGTGCTCGTTGTGATGCACGGCACGTCGCCCGGCCCGGCCCGACCGAGGCCCAGCCCTTCCGGACGGCCCTCCGCGGTCCCGCGAGGAATGGGAGCCTTGAAATTACGGCGGCAGCGTGGCGGGGCGCGAGCCGGGCAGGGCCGCCTCCAGGGCAGGGCGAGCCGAGCTGGAGGGCTGCGTCGTCTCGACCGCCTGGAGCGCCTGGAGCGCCTGCGAGGCGGCGGGTAGGCAGCACCGCATCACAGCCGTGCGCGCAAGCAGCCCGCCTGCCTACCCTCGGGCGTTCCGCTCCGCGCTGTCCGCGTTCCTCTTTGCCCGGGCTCGGACCCTGCCCTGCCTTACCCTGGCCGGGACTGGGACTGGGACGGGAGTCCTGGGTCTGGGTCTGCCTGCCCCTGCCCTGCCCTGCCCTGCCCGCCGGACCCATTGTGCAACACAACAACATCTGGTGGGCCTCCGTATATGGTCCGCCCCCTCCCCCCTTTTCCCTGACGGCGAGCGCCTCGCGGTGGGGCGGCGCAGGGCGGCGCCACGGAGTGCGCGGAGCCGCGGAGCCTAGCGCCGCTGCACTGCCAGAAACGCCAGAAACGGGCCGCTCCGTTTTACCTTTATCTCCTCTTCTGTCTGCGCAGGTCAAGTTGGAGCGCGTGCTCGGCCTGACCGTCTCCAGCAATGCGGCTCTGGACTGCGACCCCAACTCGGAGCTGATCGCCTACCCCGCAGGGTGAGTGTCCGACCGCACCGACCGCCGCTCGTCTGTCCCTCCGTCGTGACGTCATCCTGGCTGGTGGTGACTGACGAATGCTCAATGCTCGCGTTGTGTCCGCAGATGCACCGTGGTGCTGTTCAACCCCCGCAAGAACCGGCAGTGCCACGTGCTGAACGCGCCGCGCAAGACCATCACGTGCGTGGCGTTCAGCGCGGACGGGCGCTACCTCGCCACCGGGGAGTGCGGCCACTCGCCCAGCGTGCGCGTGTGGGACCTCAACGACCTGCACGGCCAGGGCGCGCAGCAGGTCGCCGAGTTCCCCGGCCACAAGTACGGCATCAACTGCGTCGTAAGTACAGAGTCACCGTCCAACCCACGTTCAGTCTGATGCTCCCGTTTTGACTTTAATGCCTTCAATCATTTTGTGTCTCTTGACAGGCGTTTTCCCCCAGCCACAAATATGTGGTCTCCGTAGGTTCCCAACATGACATGATAGTCAATGTCTGGGATTGGAGAGCAAACATTAAGGTTGCGTCCAACAAAGTGTCCAGCAAAGTGAAGGCTGTGTCTTTCGCTGAGAATGGCAATTACTTTGTCACCGTCGGAAACCGTCATGTTAAGTTCTGGTATTTGGAGTATTCCAGAGCTGCGAAGGTGAGTTACTTTGTTGAGTTCCATATAAAGTTGACCATTATATTACAAATGTTTGCAGACACTGTAGTTGTTTCCTTAATTTTTCATTTCAGTACAAAGAACCTGTTCCACTTATGGGCCGGTCAGCCATTTTAGGAGAGCAGCGAAACAATTATTTCTGTGATGTAGCCTGTGGCAGGGGAGAGTCAGGCGACTCTACATATGCCATTACAAAGTCTGGGCTTCTCTGTGAATTTAACAACAGAAGACTTCTTGACAAATGGGTGGAGCTTAGAGTGAGTGCTGTTTTCAATACTATCATTTTCTGTCTGAGTCATAATTATGGGTGATTTGTGATGTAATGCCTTTTGTTTGTTTGTTTTTGTTTTGTTACTTTTAGACAACTAGTGCCAATTGCATGTCTGTAGGAGAACACCATATCTTCATTGGATGTGCAGATGGCATAGTACGATGCTTCAGCCCTTTAACTTTACAATTTATAACCACTCTTCCTCGTACTCACTACTTAGGTGTAGATGTGGCCCAAGGTCTTAATATCAGGTATGCCAAAAAATTTACAGTTGTATGTTCCTTTAATACTTTTTGTGTAAAAAAAAATGTTTTTAATTTTGTGCCAATTTTCAGTCACATGGCCTCACATCCTAATAATGCCAAATACCCTGATGCTATTGCTCTAGCATATGACAGTCAAAACCATAAACTCACTTGTGTTTATAATGACCATAGTCTTTATGTATGGGATGTCAGGGACATAAAAAGAGTAAGTTAAGCTTTGTCTTAAAGGTTTTTATTTTATAGAATAAAATTTGAAAGGCTACTTGACAAACACTGCTGTTATTTTCTGTAGGTTGGAAAATCTCATTCCTTCTTATACCATTCTGCATGCATTTGGGGAGTTGAAATGTATCCAGTGGGAGTTGATGAAGGTATGCCTCCTGGCTCCTTTGTCACATGTTCTAGTGATGACACAATTCGTGTCTGGAATTTGGACCCCAACATTGACACAACCCAGGATCCAACATATCGGCGCAACATTTACAGTAATGTAAGTATTTCTTTGCCTCTGCATTCTTCAAATTCATTGTGATTGTGAATGCTGACCCCATGATCTGTTCCTTTCATTGCAGGAACTTCTAAAAGTGCAGTATGTTGACCCAGAATTGACGTATCTCAAAGACTTGGACTTATCAACCGCTGAAAAGACAGACAGTTCATATGATGGACGAAATGGGGTTAGATCCATTAGAATTAGCCCAGATGGTAAACATCTGGCCTCTGGTGATAGAGCAGGAAATATCAGGTTGGCACTTTTTCTTCTCTTATTGAACCTTTTTCTTTTTTTAAATGTTCTGCATGAAAAAAATTGATTTATTAACTGAATATTATTTGATTTACAGGATTAATGAAGTCCGTGGTCTGCAGGAAGTGTGCAGAATTGAAGCTCATGATGCTGAAGTATTATGTCTTGAATATACTCGTCAAGATAGTGGACACAAACTTTTAGCATCAGCATCTAGAGATAGGTTAATACATGTGTTCAGCGTGGAAGAGGTAGTTACTGTTCTTGGTTCAACCTACCCATTTTTAAGTTTGTTTGAATACATTAATAACCCTTCTATCAATCTCTTCTAGGACTACAATTTTGTTCAAACATTGGATGATCATTCATCATCCATCACAGCAGTCAGGTTTCTGAATTCTCATCAACAACTGCAAATGGTTTCGTGTGGGGCTGACAAGTCAATCATATTCCGCCAACTGTCAGGGGTTTGTATTCTCATGTATTTATTTTTCTGCACTCTTAAATTTTGTTTTTTGATTTTTTTAAAACTAAAATTGTTTGTGTTCCTTTGCCTTTTTTTAGTCTCCTGGTGGTAATAACATACAATTTGCTCGTGGACATAATGCTGCTGGAAAGACAACATTATATGACATGGAAGTGGATTGTGGACAAAAGTACATTTTAACGGCTTGCCAAGATAGAAATATTCGTGTTTACAATGTTGCTAATGGAAAACATTCCAAAACTTTTAAGGGTTCAGTTGGAGAAGATGGATCTTTAATAAAGGTAGTTTTCATGATGATGAAGGGCATTATCTTCTGTTTGTTTTGTGAGGGTTTTAACTTGCCTCTTTCTTGCTCCAGGTTGTCTTGGATCCCAGTGGTATTTTTGTAGCTACATCATGTACTGATAAAACTTTATGTGTCTACGACTATTACTCCGGCGAGTGCATGGCAACTATGTTAGGACATTCAGAACTAGTAACAGGACTGAGATTTACGAATGACTGCAAGCGCCTTGTGTCTGCCTCGGGAGATGGCTGTATTTTTGTTTGGAAAGTTCCCCATGATATGGTGGTCACTATGCATGCGAGACTCGCTCAGCAGGCTGCTCGAGCTGGAAGGTACAGTAGTTTTTTTTCCCCTCACTATTGCACTGAAGTCTGACTTTTTTTTTACTTATCTTTTTTATGTTTTGCAGGCGTAACAATAAATTAGTCAATGGAATTCAGGTTGATAATGATGGCTTTGGCCCTCCTCCACCAGAAATGCTGGACCCCAATGCAAATAGTGTGGATCATGCTGACTACAGGTATGAGATCTGTCACTCTTACTTTGTTGCTTCAATTGTAAATCATCACACCATTTGGATATTTCTTAATTTCTTTCAACCTGCAGATTTAGTGTTGGTCAGCTGCCTTTGTGGGCTAAGAAGCAAATTAAAGATGATTTAGGGGATGCAGCTCATACAAACCTGACCAATAATAGACCAATAGAGCCTCCTAAAGGCCGGTGGGCTCAGCGTTTGGATGCAACTGGGATAACAGTCAAATCAGTCTATGACAGTGATTCTGTTATTCCATTTCCACTTCAAGGTATAGTTCACCTTCTATTAATAAAATTATGTGTCCTCATTTCTCTATGAATGTTTTCTTTTAAATTTGCTCCATTTTGATTCCTGTTTTTGTTCTCAGAAAAGAGAGTTGACTCAGATGGTTCCAAGGACAGTTCTATTGATAGTGGAACAGAAATTCGTCATTACTCAGATTTCAGACGAGAAACAATGTTAATAAACAAACAAGTGAGTTCAACAAAATCATAATGTTTATCTATGTGTGTAATAAAAAATTTAAACAAATCAAACACAACAGGGATGAGAGTTATCTTAGATTGCACTTGTCATTAGCTGCTGAAAGTAACACTAAAGTTCACTTGCTTCACAATTGCCTTGTGTTGCTTTTGTATATACATGTACCTGTACTGGTGGCCCCCTGGTGCTACACTGCTTGCCATCTGTTAATATGTATTTCCTGCAATAATTATAAAATGCTTCATGTGCTTCTGGTGCTTGTGGTTTGCAGTTCAATCAGGGAGACGAGTTTCTTCCTTGCCCAGAGAGCATGCATGAACTCATGAATGGCGAAGAGTCAAAGCAGGTTTGTTTAAATCTCACGCTTACCTGCTGTGTGTTCTTTATTTTCTTTACACTTTTGTTCTAATTGTGTATTTTACATTTCCAACATTACCTTCTGTTTTCTAATCAAAGGTATTCTTTCCTCCTGTTTTAATTTTGTAGGTCAGTATGGGGAAAGTTACCATGTCAAGAGGCAATGACCTCACAGATCTTCATAGAAATAGACACCATACAGATGACAGTAGCATAGGCAGTTACAAATATGAGGTAAATTTTAACTTCTACTTCTCTTTAAATGGATCTGAAGCCTTTCTTTTAAATTGTTCAATTTGCAAGATGAGTTCTAATGCTTTCTAAAAAATTGTTTGCAACAGGATATGGAGAGCACTGAGCATGATGGTGATGTAGAGGATTATTCTGAAGGTGAGGGTGAATCCACAGAGCCTGAACATTCCCAAAGACTTATTTATTACCCAGCCACAGAAGAGACAAGGTACTTTTATGATTGAGTGCAAATATTATTTGGCACAAATTTACAACTGAGAGCAAAACAAATTCTAATTCATTAATTTTCTTCTTCTCCAAATAATAGTGTATATACTGTAAATGCAATGGATGTAGAAGAACTTCGACGCTCTCAAAGGCGATTGCGTAAAAACCAAAGGCCAGAACGCCTGTCAGACTTACCTTTAGTTTCACCATCTGGAGTTTCTGGCAGTCAGGACAGTGAGGATGATGATGAAGAAGTTTCAACTCCTAGTGCTGATACAGCTGAACGCAACCTCATGTCAATGCTCTCTGTTAGGTAATAAGATTGTTATCAATTGATGATATTTGGCAATTGTTCTAATTCAGTTTTAATTCATGATTATAAATTTATTTGCAGCTCTGAAAGTCTTGACATTGTAGGGCAACGTGAAAAATATTTGAAAAATACCTTTGATTCCCTCAGTGGTGCAGAGCAAGACAAGGACCTATATTCAGGTATGAAACATATTTGAAGTCCTCTTTTTGTGCCAAATTCCATAAGAGTCCATAAAATATTGTATTGCTTATATTATTGATGTTTCCACCAGGCAAAAAGAGCATATCCTCACAATACCATGGCCGTATAACCACTACCCCTCGGAATACTGCTGTGATCAATGCTGCATGGCAATCTCGCACAGAACCTGAAACATCAAGAAAGCGGGAAGAACTTAAAAAACGCATTGAAGAGACACGGCGGAAATTACAAAGTGTAAGTGTAAAATTAAGTAAATTATAATTTGCATTGCCATTTTTCCACGTCTTTTCTTATTTCTAAATGTGCAGGTTGGGTATCGCTCTAACCTGAAGAGTAGCCAGAGCATTCAAGACCTAAGCCGCTATCCAGAGAAGGAAAGAAGGAATGGAGGTCCTCATCGTTTGCTCCGTCCCCCAGGAATAGGTAAAGATGCATCATCTAAGAAGCAAACCAAGCCCAGTAAACCCCCTAAACCCACACTTCCAAGCAAACCTTCAGGCAAGCCAGCATCCAGAACAACTCCTATTGCATCTTCTAATCAAAAGCCTTCTCCTTGCCCTAAACCTTTAATTGCATCTTCTGACTCTACTTTCATTCCGGCCTCAAAAATTTCTCTTGCTGCTATGACAGCAAATCGACCATCTTCTTTAAATCTCACTGGAGTGAATACTGTCTCTACTAACAAATTTCGGCGAGCAAATCGGGCACTAAACACTAACATTCTCTCGCTTCCGGAATCACCTGTATGTGATGATCTCCATTCTCCCACTAACTCTGGTGCTATAACGGATTCTGAGGATACAGGGAAAACAGGGCAAAAATCATTGGGAACTAAAAATAGGTCGTGTAGTTTCTACATAGACTTCAATAGTGTGTCTCTACCAAGCGAAATGTTCAGAAGAAAACCCATGACAAGATCCACAGAGTCTATCCTTGAGACTCCAGAACCTGAAGAGGAGGAGAATGACAATGAAGAAAAGCGCTCAGATGCAGGAAGTTTTAGCTCTGACTCCTTAGAATCAACCAGTGAGTTTGGGAAACCTCCAAGACGATGTGTTAGTGATTATCAAATTTTCAATACAGCTGATACTTCAGATTTTGAGAGATTCAGAAGTGCTAGTGCTGCTGGGCAGCATGGACAAGAAAGAAAAGTTGGAGAGGTATTCTTGTCTCAAGAAAGCATTCTATCTGATGCTAGCCAACTTTCTTCATCAGCTGATATTTTGCAAATTGATCGACACAGCAGTGCCAGCTTTTTTCTCAGAAATCGAGAAGCTTGTAGGTCATCAGAAAGTATACTTACAGATGAAAGTGACTATCAGTACCTCTTCCAAGGCTTTGGTTCCCGTCAGCTACGAGACTCTCGCAGCAATGCTCAAAGCACTGAAAGTATTTTGACGGATGATAGTGAATTACAAATGCCAGGTGGTGTTGATTCCCTTAGTAGAAGAATGCCGACATATGAGGACAGTGGGTTTGAGACTGCAAGCCAAGGTTTCATGGGGCCTGGCACAGACCACCACTCTGGCAGCCTTTACCGAGGTGAAAGCATGCACCGAGGAGTGTTTAGAACTAGAAGTTTGCATGATACACGATCCTCGCGCTTTGCTTCTGGAAGAGAACGTGCAGGATCTCCTATGGTTCCTGATGGTGCAATGTTAGATTCTCTGGAACCCGTTGAGTTTTCAGGGAATGTCCAAGTAACAACTGGTGCATTTTCCCAGCCAACATCTCCTCCTCTCTACCGCTCAGTATCACTCAAAACTAAGCCACAGTCATTTTTCATTCCTCTTGATAATGGTGGAGGCAGTACTGAAGGAGAGGCTATAAACCGTAGACTGAGTTTTCCATTGAGTGAAAGGAAACCCCCGGTGAACCGGCCTCCAACTGCTCCAAAGCCTGATGTTAAGGCCAAACCATTAATTGCTCATAAGCCTCCCAAACCCAGACACAAAATGGGCACCATTCCTGGACCAGGAAGAAACCAACTGAAGTCATCCTCTTTGTCAGTGGCAAAGCAGGAAGAAAGAGGAAAGTCGAGTAGCAATACTAAGTGTCTACCTCGTGAACTAATGAGTGGAAGTGCGACGTGGACAAAGTCAAAGACACCCACAAAGCACATACGGGGTATTGAAGTAAAAGCAGTGGCTCCCAAGGATACTGTGCGCACCTCAACTAACACTGGCCAATTTTTTGAAAAGGCCGAAAGAGAAACAGTTAGTCCTGACAGTAGTAACAGTGATGATGTGGGAAGCAGCCTCGCCTCAAAACCTAAGAAAGATTCAGAAAAGTCTCAAACTACAAATGAAGCCATTTCTTCTGTTGCCAAAGAAATTTCGGACTGTTATGGATACAGCAAAGAAGGGAGTGATAGCATTGATACAAAAGGACCTAGCTCTGAGGATACTGGCAGTAACACACTGCAACCAACTGTCTCCCATGTCAAATTACTGTCAAAAAAGTTTGAATGCAGCGTCCCTTCAAGGCAAAAAGTGTTGCCCAAACATTTGAGTAGATCACCTTCAGTTCCCTGTCATGGGGATACAGACACAACAGTATCTATATCTTTCTCTCGAAGTGAGGATGGTCTTTCCGATTGTAATGATGATAGTCTAGCGGTTGTGAATTGGGATTCTGGATCTTCCACTCCTGCTACTTCCTCCTCCTGTGCTAACTCTCCTAAAAGACTGTGGCCACGCACATCAGGATTGCCTATATCAGGAAACACGCCGTCACCAGCAGCCTCCAATCAGCTAGCAAAACGTCTAGCCCTTCGACAACACAACCACCATCAGCTGTTACCTTCCAAATGTGTCTCAGGTACCACACAGACTGCCCTCATTAGCCTTCGTCGCACCGCCATAACTTTCCAACTCTTAGATGTTGTGTAATGATTGTGCATGTTCACATATATTTGCATGTTGCTATTATATTATTTGATAAGGGATTTCTCTACAAGAATTTTGAGGCCAGAAGTTTTCACCTTCCATTTCCATTATTTATCTTGACCTTTTCCCTGGATATAAACGAAGTGTTGACTGGGTTTTGACTACCTTTTTTTTTTGTCTTTTTTCCCCCCATATTTTTTAGAGTTTTCTTTCCAGTTTTTAAATTGTGTTGTTAAATCTGTGTGACTGTTTAATTTTATGTTTTTTCTCATAGGTTATTTTTTCATTTTTGTTTGACACTTTGACTTATTTTTTATTTTATTTTTTATTTTTCACAGCTACTATTTATCAGTACACTCCAGTGCTTCCAGGTAGCCTATCTAAATACCAAAAAAAATATTTTTAAAATGTGGAGCTTTTTTTTGTTTGTCCTAAACCATACATTCATGTTTTGTTATAGCTTTGCACTCACCAATTCCATTGTTAATTCTGTCCACTGAACCTTTTTGAATTACTTCAGTGGCACAATTGGTAAAGTGAATCAGTGCCACACATAGTAACAATTAACTTATTCCCGTCTTATTCTCAGTAAAATTGTGCCTGATGTTCCAAATATTTCTGATTCTCTGCTTCAAAGCTTATGTTGTGTTATTCATTTTGAGATGATAGAGCATTTGTGTTTATTTGTTTTGTTGTTGTTCTGTATGAATGATGCTTTGTTTTCTGCTTTTTCACGTATTGTTTTGTCACAGCTGTCATTGCACTTACTCATGAGAGCAAGATGCAATTGCTGATATATTAGGGGTTTAATGTTGTTGTGCATGCGTATTGATATTTGTGATTCCCCTAACAGCTGTGGACAGTGATGATGGATGTACTGAGCCCGGAGGTGCTATTCGCCGTGCCTGTTCCCTCAGCGATCTTGCCAATCCCACCCCACGAAGAACACCTGTTCAAGGTATCAACTCTCTAGGGAAAATATCAGGCTAGTTTAGATCTAGAACCTCCCAAAAGTTTATAATGGCACCATCTGGGAGAGGGAAATAAATTTTCTAATTTTCATACATTTTACATACTTGGCCTGCACTTTTATATTGGTAGTTACCTCTTTGATGACATCAATGAAATATTGCCATGGCACAAAGGGCTTCTGGGGCATTCAACATCAACTCAGATCAGTTTATTTTGCTGCAGATTTCTAAATTTCTGTTTGCTCTGTACGCATTTTATTATTTTGACATTCGCTGAAGACAATTACATGACATGCCAACTGTTTATTTTATGTGTAGATTTTTGATTTGATTGAAATTAGAGTGTGATTAGACTGTAGCTGTAGTATTTCCTGTGTCAAGCAATATACCAGTTTTGAAATATTCATTTTTTCAAGTTTTTTCTATGATTGCTTCCAGTAATATCAATATTTGTTAATTATTTGTCTTTTAGTTTCAGGGAAAGTATCAAACCATAAAAGCAATCCATCAAGCCGTACACTTCCTCGCCCAGGATTCAAAACTGGATCAGCCATGACACGAAGCAGTTCTGTGGGAGTTTTGAATCAAGTAAGATTTTTGTCATTGTTTATTTTAAACTTTATTTGAATTTGTCTTTTGTGTTGTTAATTCTTGGCATTTCATCCTTAACAGAGCGACTCTGAAAGTGATCTTAGTCTGAACCATCATCCAACACCAACTGCCCGTGTCAATGGACTGATGCGTCCTACTATATCATCTCAAAATAAAATGGCTGGTGGTATTGGAGGAAAGGGGAGGCTAGCAGTCAAGCGTGGTCTGTCTGGAGCATTTTCAAGTAGTAAGTAGCATATCTATTATGTGCATTAATGTGATGTGTCTTAGTCCAAGCGGTACTAATTTTCATTTTTGTGTTTTAGTGAACTTGAGCCAAGTAGGTAACAATGAAGATTCAAGTTCTGAGGAAACTGCATCAGTAGGAAAACCACGACAGAGGAGCTCAAGCATTGATAGATCTTCAGGGTTAGTTGATTTCAAGAGGAACATTCTTTGACTTTGCTTTTATATGTAATTGTTTTTAATTGATTTGGTATATGTCTGACGCAGAGCACCAACGAGCCTCCCACCCGGTGGACATAGTGCCATACCCCATCGAAGGACTGTCACTTCAGTGCAGCCTCTCAACCGTTACAGTGGCGACCGTGATATAGTGGCACCAATCCCACCTCCTCGTCCTACTCGCCTTAGAGCAAATAATAGTGCTAATTTATCTCATCAATTGGACCCGTCTCCTCAAGAGTTGCCAGTGAAGGATACCGATAACGGTGTTGATCTTGCTAGTGCTCCATGTAAGTCAAATTGTATCTACCAGCAAAAATGAAGATGTAGACTGTTAAACTAATGTTACAATATTAATTTTTTTCCAGTGTCCCATGAGCTTATTTCGTCGATCACTGATCAATTAATGCGCACAGCGGACACAGTAGTGCAGCTTCACAAAAGACTTGCAATGGAAAGCACTGAACGTAGCAGCCAAGATCCCCTACTCCAAGGCCTTGAAGGAGCTGTTGGGGAGGCTCAACGTACTCTGAGACTCATAGCTGGTGGAACATCATCATTACCAGCTACCAATGGATTGCCTGTTGCCAATGGATCATCTTCAGATCCTGCTCTAGCAAGCAAACTACAAGACTTGGTTGCAACGGGTGGAAGTGGCAGTGCAGTCACCATGATGCAACAGTACTCAGACTTGCTGCTGTCTTTAGTTCAGCAGCGTGTTTCAGCACCTACATCAGCAAATCCTGGACAGTCTCCCACCTCACCAACACCAGCAGAAGCCCCAGCACAGCCTGCTACTGACTGAAATTGGTGCCATTGATGTATGTTTAACTGTGTTGTATTTATCTGTGGAGAGTGAAAGCTAGCTGTCATTTAATTCGACATGAGAGCTGTCACAGTGTTGTACCGTGAGAAACTGTTCTTATATTTCGTGCAATTATTCCTATGATTATTGCTTTTTTTTCAATTCAACTTGTGTGGAAATGATTGCATTGCACAGAAAGTGATGATGAAGGCCTTGTGATACTTATGAACAGCGTCTCGCTGGCGAGGCATGTTGCTACACGATTTTTCCCAGAAAGTGCCTCCTTTTAAGTGTTTGATTTCTGAGAAATCAAAGTGTTTTTTGTTCTTTGTTTATGTGTTGTAACACCTTATCAAATTTTTATATCTATCTGGAATGTAATGGGTGTCATAGTATGCACTTGTTGGGTCTATGTGATACCAACTGGGCTCAAGACGTGTTCCGTCATTCTAGTGGCTGAGTGGTTGTTTGTTTTAAAATAACACTCTTCTCTTCCTATGGCCAAATTCTTGTGTCAGTTTAACTGAGCTAAAAAGGATTGAGGTTGAAATTCTGGATGTTAGCCTAATCATTGGTCCAGAAATTTTTCCTTGTCTTTTTGGGATATTGACTTTACTGTTAAAGGAATAGTTGTCCATCAATTCCTTAACTACTAAGAAATTATTGTAATCACTTTTGGATTTTTTAAAATTCCAATCAATACTTAGTGGTAACATTTGTAACACCCTAATCTTGTAAAAGTATTTCTGAGTACTGATACCGTGAAAGTCATTTATTGTTCTTTGTTTTCTGTTTTGAGATTTTTGTCTCTCAATGTTAAGTTCTGTTTTTAGCTTTAAATTTCGTCTTTGTTATGTTGCTTCAGGCTCAGTCAGTTAGCTTAGTGTAGCTCAACCAGAATTCATTTACAAACATTGGTTGTTCTTTGTCATGTCTGTGACAAGACCAACCCTCCATTAAGTTGGAACTTTTGAATCCTCTTACTGAATTTCACTAACATTAAGCAACCAAACTTAAAGTCCTCCTTTTCACCATCTATAATTTTTTTAAGTCTCCATGTGAACTGATACTGGATCAAAAGAGGAAAATAAAAATCTTCACCAAAGTTAGCAGAGCTCTGAATGAAATTTGAGAATGTTTTCTTTTAAATAATAAAAGAAAGAAACTACTCAAGTGTTTAAATTTTTTTAGTTATGATTTGTGTGTTTCAAATTGTTGCATGTGTAAGCATGTTGTTACTTGACATGAGTAAACAACATGTAAACTGCGGTGTTGCAAGCAATTTGTGCATGATTTGTGTGATTCTTATTGCCAATAGCCATGAACGGTTGCCAAGTAATTTTTTAAAACAATGTGTATATATTGTATGAGCTAAGAATAAAATGCTCCAGTGTGAGGAGGTTCACTTTCTCCTAAATGACGTGAGGCTTTAATTTTCTGGAATTTCTAACAACCCACCGTTTCTGCTCAGAGAACAATTCATCTTTACAACTTTTCCTATACTATTCAACTGTAAGAATACTTTGCTTTATTTCAAATTTCTTTTCATATGCACAGGCATGCTCTATACTGCTGTGTACCTTCATATTAAACAACCTGTTATGAGAACCTCAACCCTGTTGATGTTTCTTTCCCATCCTACAAATCCAACATTCTAGGTACACGTCACAGCATGCTGATAAGAAATTAAAGACTCCCTGGCTTTACGAAAAGCAAACTCACGATATTTTTCCTTGTGAAGAGACACATGAGTTCCCCTCATCAGGTCTTCACCACCACTCTTAATTACTAGTCAGGGGGAAAACATCTCAACCATTCGTATTTTAATTTTTCTAAAGGAATCCTCAAGGTGCAAGCTTTTAGACCTCAAATGCTTAAAAACACAGAAGGTAGCTTTGATTCTGTCAAGATGCCCAATGGTCTTGGATACAAAGTGTGAAGATGTAAATGGAATTGTGCATGGAAGCTATCTGGGTAGTGAAGTCAAATGCAAGTAACAATTACCCCAGCTTCAATTCTGAAGTGAACTGCCATAGGCCCAATGGCCCTGAATATGAGAAATCCCAATAAAATTACAATACCATTCTGCAATTGTATTTGAATTTGTTTAGCACTTCAAAGGCGTTGAGTTCCAGCTATTGTGTTTAGATTGAGATAAGGCAGCAGTGTAAATCAGACACGAAATAAAGGGCACATTAAGTTTATTACATTAAAAAAAAATGATGGCGTTGCACAACACTGGTAACAGGTACATCAGACCAGAAATACTGGCAGGAATGAACAACAGTCAGGGAAGGACACTATGGCAAGCCCGACTAAACTGGTGAGAAACGAAACATGTCTTTGGTGAATTATGAGAGATGCAAAATTGAAAAACATAAATTAAATTAGTTACTTAATCTACTTCCTCCATGCGAGAAGCATCTTCGGCATCCGCTTGAAGGTCAGGCATTTCAACATCCTTCACGTCATCCTTGGTTTCAGGAACATCATCTTCATCAATACCCAAGCCCAATTTGATCATACGGTGAATACGGGAGGCATGAACCTGGGGCTCTTCAAGTGCAAAGCCAGATGACAGCAGAGCAGTTTCGAAAAGCAGCATAACTAAGTCTTTCACAGCCTTATCATTCTTGTCAGCTTCAGCCTTCTGTCTAAGGGTTTCAACGATGGCATGGTCTGGGTTAATTTCCAAATGCTTCTTGGCAGCCATGTATCCCATAGTTGAGGTGTCACGGAGAGCCTGAGCCTTCATGATACGTTCCATGTTGGCAGTCCAGCCGTACTGTGAGGTGACAATACAGCAAGGGGACTCGACTAATCTGTTTGACACTACAACCTTTTCTACCTTCTTGTCCAGAATGTCTTTCATCACCTTGCACAGGTTCTCGAATTTAGCCTTATCTTCTTCACGCTTCTTCTTCTCCTCTTCGTCCTCAGGGAGCTCAAGACCCTCCTTGGTGACAGATACCAGAGTCTTGCCATCGAAGTCCTTCAGCTGCTGGACGACGTACTCATCAATAGGCTCAGTCATGTAGATAACTTCAAATCCACGCTTCTTGACACGCTCAACAAAGGCAGAGTTGGCAACCTGCTCGCGGCTCTCACCAGTGATGTAGTAGATGTTCTTCTGGTTCTCCTTCATTCGGCTAACATAGTCCTTCAGAGAGCAAACATCGTCACCAGAAGCAGATGTGTTGTACCTCAGCAGCTCAGAAAGCTTCTTGCGGTTGTTGCTGTCCTCGTGGATACCAAGCTTCAAGTTCTTGGAGAACTGCTCGTAGCACTTCTTGTAGTTTTCCTTATCCTCAGCAAGTTCTTCGAAGAGGTCAAGACATTTCTTCACCAGGTTCTTCCTGATGACCTTGAGGATCTTGTTCTGCTGGAGGGTTTCACGAGAGATGTTCAGCGGCAAATCTTCGCTGTCCACAACACCCTTGATGAAGTTCAGGTACTCAGGAATCAGATCTTCACAGTTGTCCATGATGAAAACACGGCGGACGTAAAGCTTAATGTTGTTCTTCTTTTTCTTGTTTTCGAACAAGTCGAAGGGAGCCCGCCTGGGGATGAAGAGGAGAGCGCGGAACTCAAGTTGACCCTCAACAGAGAAGTGCTTCACAGCCAAGTGCTCTTCCCAGTCGTTGGTGAGAGATTTGTAGAATTCACCATACTCCTCCTTGCTGATGTCATCCTGATTCCGGGTCCAGATAGGCTTTGTGAGGTTGAGCTCCTCATCCTCAGTGTACTTTTCCTTGACAGTCTTCTTTTTCTTCTTCTTTTCCTCCTCCTCTTCACCTACATCCTCAATCTTCGGGGTCTCGTCATCTCCTTCCTTCTTCTCTTCATCCTTGTCCTTCTTGTCCTCTTCCTCCTCTTCATCATCGCTGAGCTCCTTGTCACGGGTCTTCTCAACAAGAAGCTTGATGGGGTAGCCGATGAACTGAGAGTGCTTCTTGACTATTTCCTTGATCTTGCGTTCTTCCAGATACTCCATCTGATCTTCCTTCATGTGCAGCACAATCTTGGTACCACGGCCCAAAGGTTCACCGTTGTCTGGACGAATGGTGAAAGAGCCACCAGCTGAGGACTCCCAAATGTACTGCTCATCATCGTTGTGCTTGGAGACGACTGTGACACGGTCAGCAACGAGGTAAGCTGAGTAGAAACCAACACCAAATTGACCAATCATGGAGATGTCAGCGCCAGCCTGGAGAGCTTCCATGAAGGCCTTGGTTCCGGACTTGGCGATGGTTCCCAGGTTGTTGACGAGGTCAGCCTTGGTCATACCAATACCACTGGAGACATGATACACACTATTAGTCACAGAAAACAACTAGGAAATACAGAAACAATAAATGATGGAAACAAAACTTACGTGTCAATGAGTGTGAGAGTGCGTTCATTGACGTTGGGGATGAGCCTGATGTTAAGATCCTTGCCACTCTCCAGGCGTGAGGGATCTTTGAGCGACTCATAGCGGATCTTGTCCAAGGCCTAAAACAAGAACACAATGTTTAAGCACCCCAATTTTAAACAATCTTGAATTAAAACTAACTCAATGCTCATGGATGAACTGCAAACTTACATCAGATGAGTTTGAGATCAATTCTCGCAGGAAAATCTCTTTGTTGGAGTAGAAAGTGTTGATAATGAGGGACATAAGCTGAGCAATCTCAGCCTGGAAGGCGAAGGTCTCAACATCTCCCTGCATGGTTTCTTCGGGCATCTGAAACAACGGAGTGACTGACCATTAGCGACTATCATCGCAGCACGAAACTAACCTCTGCCACCGGTTCGTATGAATGGTCCCCAACGCAAAGACACAAACTAACTAAACTGACTTCGAATCAAACTTAATAGTAGTAAAAGCTATCTGAAATCTCGGCATCGTGGGAGGTATCCCAGAAGTGCCGACAGACGCGAAATCCCGGAGATAACCTTCTAGAACAGGGGAAGCCGGCGGCCGAGCAGTGGGAGCAGGTGCACCATCGAACCAACCAGAACCCACGCGCACGCGGCGTGAGTCGAATGTAGACGCACACACGATTCAACAAGGGGACTGAGCTCAATACCGGATTACTATGCGACTGAAAGATCCTGAGGAAATGAACGAGCGGCCAAAAAAGTGCAATCGTCACGATATTCCCCTCATAGCACAAAAAAGCCAACACCCACGTTCTAAAGAAATTCGTCAAATTCGGGGAGCGGGTTGAAAAGATGGTCAAAACTGCACCACCACTGAACGAAAAGCTCAGTGAAACAGTGAACGTAAAGATGATCACAGCAAATCGGAGAGGAATGAATCGAATGATCACACACAACACGTGCAAGGCAAAGCGAGGCCGCACAAACCGACCATTTTCAAGTCACCAAACATGACTAAAAAGTTTCGGACACCGGCACAATACCAGAGGAATATCACACGGACAACTGAGATCATTCACATTTCACAAAATCAGTAACAAACTCACCTTGAAAGATTAGAGAATTCAACGGAGCACAAGGAACAAAGACGCAGCCGGCTCGGCTCTCGCAGCGCACGCAACTCGGGCGACGACTCAGTGAAAAGTGACGAGAGAAGTGGGGGACCGGCCAATTTATAGTTGGATCCTGCCAGAGAATGGTCGAGAACGTTCTAGAAGCTTCCATCGAAGGAACCGGAACCGCGCGTTCCCCCACCCACGACAGTACAGAGTCGGCGTGTAATAACTTCGTCCACAGCCCACCACAACCAACCACAGATAGACACCAACGTTTGGAGGATGCGGGTATGCACACCGGAAACGAAATTCTATTGGTCCTCGTCCTTCCAGAACCTTCCAGAAAGGACTAGCTCCTCCTTTGGTGGGAGAATCAAATACTTGGTTACGTACTTGCCAATGATGTCGCTGTTTCATGTGTTCTAGAACGTGATGCTATTGTTAGGAAGTTTGAAGGGAGGAATATATCCAACATCATTGCTTTTTTTTAATTTAATAGACCTTTTTGCCCACGATCCATCGCATATGTGTTGTATTTTGGTCACTGTTCCATTCCTTACAAAATTCTTCGTCCGTGGAACATCAAGGCCAAAATATAAAATAGCACCCTTACAAATCCGCTGGCTTGTGGGCTAAATATGTAGACAAAACCTTTATGTGGGTTGGGGAAAAAAGGTCTATATTCAAGTGAAGGGAAGGATCTTTTTAGCTAAGCTTGTCACGTATCATTTTGTTTCATTTTTCTATTGACAAGGGTGGTTTGCATATTCTCAATGCTGAAAGCTCTTTTTGAGTAATAAACAGTGTGTAGCATTAGCAAAACGTATGATGATTCTGTTGCAATAAAAAGTTTTAGGACAAATTCAAGGGAACTTAGAACATAGCATAGTCTTAATAAGGTTTTATTTTCTGTGTAGAAGAGACACAAGTAAATAACATTGGAAGTAAAAAAGTAAAGTTATTTATACATTTGGAAGAAAGAGGAGAAAAGCAGCAAATTGCAACATACACTAGAGTTTGCATATTTACACACACACACATGATTCATACTTGATACAGACATGATTAAAATAATAATTACAAGCATAACACGACTTGTACTATCTTTCACCACCAGCATTGTTGTCCGAAAACACTGCAGCCAATATTTGACGAGAATAATCCAGCTCCTCCTGAGAAAGAAAAGCAAAACATACATTATTATTAAAAAGAGGGAGGACGGGAAAATTTAACAAAGTCAAGAATCTGTAACAACAAAATTCCATACCTGACATTCCTCTTTCCCTTTCACCGACTCAACATAGGATGTTAATAACGACTGCAGTTGAAGAGCAGGGTCTCTACAGTCTTTTATGCATTCTTCATGGTCTTGGACCAAAGCCAGGAGTGCAGAAAGAAGATGTTCATGGGAAGGGGTGCGCTCTTCACTGATGAGGCCAACTAACTGATGCACCCAGCCCATCTTCTGAAGATCATCTAGAAAGTAAAAATGAGAGTAGAGAATATGAATCTTCATTATAAACATAAGTTGGAAATTTTGGGGCTTGAACTGCCACATGTCACATACCTCTAATAGCCGGATGCTCACTGCAAAGTGCTCCAAGTAGAAATGCCGACTTGACTTTCAACTTATCGACATTACTTTGCATAGCTCTTAGCAAAACAGAAAACCCATCTTCGCTCAGAAACTTTTTCAAGCCTTCTTTGTTATCTCTCACAATACCTTGCAAGACAAAAATACATTGTAAGGATTAATTTAATAGTAAATTGATTCAGAAAAAAATGAAAGAATTGTGAAATATTACTTACAAGACACAGCATATAGGGCTTTAACTCTAACAGTCTCACTGACTCCATTATCAACCATTTCTAGTAAGATACGGAGAAGGCCAGAAGAGAGACTGTGTGACTGGCAGTAAGGGTTGTTTTGGTTGAGCTCAGCAACTAGCTCTGCAGTTCGCCACTGCAGAGAGGTGTGTGCAGATTTCAAGCAAGTCATAAGAACATCAAATCCTCCCATTTTATGGAAGTCTAGAAATGAAAGAGAGTTGGTGAGTACATTGACACTTCGAGGTACAAGTATGAAATAGTTTACAAAATAGAGATCAAACTCTTACCATTGGCAAGATCTATGTTATCCACAATGTCAGATATTGTTTCAAGAGCTTCTTCATACTCGTCTGCTTCATCATCTGGCTTCAGATCTTTCACAGCTGATAGGGTTGTTAGGGACTTACTAATAACTTCAATCAAATCCACCGTCATAGACTTCAATGTGTCCTCTAAAAATTTGCGTCTCTGAAAAGAGAGATTAGATACATGAAGATGTAAATCAAGCATTATATGCAGATTCAGCACAAGAAATAGACAGATGTATTACCTCGTCATCCATAGGCTGAAAATGTGATACGCTTGGGGCATCCTCCATGGCGGTGGCTTCCATTGCAAACCGAAGTAATCCTTTCATGTCTCGGGCAGGTCTAGGTTGGTTGGGAAGAACAATTTGCTCTGGTTCTTCGATATCATTGTCAACAGGACCCTTGATCATCTGCATACTTTCTTCTTTTGAAGGAGGAGGATTATCAGCCATAGTTCCGAAAAGAAAAAGAGCGCCTGACCACTAACGTAATGTCTCGTAGAACTAGCTCTTAACTAAAATCGTTTCCAAGCCACCGGGAGACACACAGAGCAGTGAGTCACAACACTTTCTCAGCCAATCCAGAACGTTCTTGCAGGTTATGGTGCCCAGTGGTAAGCGTCTGCTCGTTACTATGAGAAACCGCGAGGAAGCTTCGCGGCTACAGTATGAGAGAGTTTCTAGAACGCGCCATTCATTAGGTTATGTCAACACTGTGACAGTTACTTGTGATTGCAAGTAGCCAAAGCCTTGGGTTGGGGTTTCTGACGTTGTAACATGTTTGGTGCCGCAGATGACGATGACCTGGATTTCAACCCTGCTGCCGGGTACCTATAGCACTTGCCTCGCTCTTGTTAGCACTGAGGCATTTAAAAATGTTGTTTACTAATTCTCTATCTTTGACCCAGTAGCACCCACTTCTTTATTTCTTCCTACATGCACTCATAACACCTTTATTTTGTTGCCAGCAATATAAACTCTTGATGCGTATTTGGTTGTCCGCATTATCACATGGCATGTTGCAGGTCGAAACTGGCGTCATTGTTCAATGTGCTGGAAAAGTCATCCGAAAAGGGGAATTCTTCCCTAACATACACAGCACCCAAACAACCAAAACAAAAAGTCCAGCATGAAGGACTTGCCTCATCTCGGAAACCATCTCTTACATCAACAAGTGCCACAAACAAGCTGTCGCTGATTGTTGTTAAAGCAGTTACTTCATTTAAGCTGTGAGTCATCATAATTTTTTATAATGAGACCCAAAATGTTTGTAAATTGTTAGACTTGATCAACATTTTTACAAACTTTCTTGCAGTGAAGGTGGCAGCTACAACCCTCAAGGGAAATTGGGTTTGGCTCTTTTGGGTAATTCTGAATCTCGATTATTTCAACTTCTTCTTTACAAAGGCAAACAACAACAAATCACTTCTGTTAAAATCAGTCCTAATTTCCAGTTTACTGTAAGTTTACTTCGTGGCTTTTCACTTTCTTGAAATTTATTTTCACCGTTAAAATTTCAAATGAGATAATTTTTTAAATCATTTTCCCAGGTCCAACCACATTTATATGCATCTTTTTATGATGATCGAACACAAAACTGGTCTATTATGTTTGAAAATAAGGATGATGCAGTGGAGTTTACCACCCAAGTAGGAAACATAATTGGTTGGAATTTAATATTCATAAATCCATATTATGGACTTTAATATTTAATTTGTTTCCCAGGTGGCAGTTGCTCGATACAGATCTGCTGGTCCAAGTCAGGAAATTATTATCACTCAAGAACTTCTTCCCGGGACTGGGGATTGTATTAAAGAGAATGAAACAATTCAATTAAAACTGTTAGCACAGCCTTTCCAAGCCAACTCTGTACAGGTGCTTTCAGTGCTTGTTTAGTTTGGTGAGATATTATAAAATAATTATGCAATTAAGAATAGATTTGTTTTCTTTAGGTTGCAGATCTTCGCAAACCCATGTTAGAATGTGCCATATCTCATACCCTTGAAGCTTCGGGCTGGTCAGCTGGCATTCTAGGAGCAGCATCTGGCTCGGTTTGTGTAATTCTTGTGCCTTTAAGTGTACAATTACCGTGGCTAACAAGCAAAAGAAATGAGCCTCTGTTGGTTGAGACCCACATTAGTAATGACAAAAGTTTGAATGTCAATCAAGCCAAAGATCTCCCTATGGCTGAAGAAAAACTATCAAAACAAAGTACGAAAGTAGACAGTGCTGCTGATTCAAGGTAGATCTGGGGATAATTGGTTTTAATTTTAACTTAAACCAATAAGCAAATACTTATTTATCTTAAATGGTTTACTGGTTTACTGCTATTACTTGTAGTCCTAAAAAATTTCACTTTACAGTACTGAAGATTCAAGTGTTTTATCTAGAAGTGCTTCAATAAAAGAAGCATTGTCAAACAGTCCTCGTTCAAACAAAGCTAGTATCATATCTCGCATGGCTCGCATGGGTCAGGCAACACTCCCCCTGAAGGGAGCTATTACTTGCAACCCAAGTGACAGTGAGGAAACAGAGGTATTTGCCACTTTCCAGCAACCTTCCAGTATAAAATTATTTTGTACTGTTTTTTTTTTTAAAGCTGGTGTTCAATACTTACAGGATGACACTGGGACAGTTGGAAGATCCAAGCCCCCACCAAAGGCCTACGGAAATGTAAAACTTAGGTCAGCCCTTCGCCAACAGGTTGCTACTCAACCTTCCATGGGAGGTGCAACACCTGCAGCTATGGCTGTTGTACAGACCCCTGTGCACTGGAACCAACATCAGCAAAACTTAATGGTAACATGAATTTGAATCCATTTCTTCACATAGATTAATGTTAACAATCCAATGCACTAAAAAAAATTATAAAATTCTTGCAGCCCAAAACAGGAAATGATGGTTCCATGGTTCAGATTGTATCATCAGAAGGGCAGCTTTTTTCCTTGAATGCACAACAGCAGCTCCCAATAGTTGCAACAACAAGCACCATGATGTCACCTACAGATACTTCAACTGCCCATATGTCTATGTTTTTGTCTGAAGCCAGGATTCAAAACACTGAAATGAGGATGAACCTCAGCAAATTTGGTGACAAAATTGATCATTTAATAACAAAAGTATGTAGCCTTTTCCTCTGGGAAAGAAAATGTTTTCAGAAAGACAACAGGGTTAATAAGACAGTTTAAAAATGTTTATTTTTGTTGAAGGTTGATAATTTGCAAATGTCTTCTGGGTCTCCTAGCCCTACTACTGCACCAGCTATTGGCCTTGAACCTAATGCTTTATTGTTTAGCATTGAGAAGTTAGTTAAAGATAATCAATCACTCAATATGGAAATAGCTGAGAAAAACAAACGTCTTGATGAACAAAACGAAAGGATATTTTCTCTGTTAAATACAAATTCAAAGTAAGAATTTTTAACAAATCCTGCTTAAATTTGTTGTTAAAATTAGCTTTTCTACAGTTTTGACATCTTCGTATCCATAGGTTTTTGGAACAAAGTGGCTCCCTCTTGGAACAGAAACAACTCCAAGAGCAGAATAAGAAAAAACATGAAGAGCAGATACAGCAACAAGAACTGCAGGCACAACTTATACAACAGATTCGGGAAGAAAAGATAGGTCTTGGAAATCAACTTGCAAGTCTGCAGAATCAGCTGGCATCTGTACAAGTAAAACCCTCAATTTTATTGTGATGAACCATTTTACTTTATAACTTACTTTTTTTTTCTTAATTTCATTTGAAAAATTATTTTTGATCCAGGAATTAGTTCAAGCCCTTCAAAAGAGTAACAAAGAGTTAAATCAAGAATTGGAGGTCATGCGTAGCCGGTTACAAGGTAACAACAATAGTTATTATAGATCAAAAAAACGGTATTCGGTGTGTCAAAAGTCAAATTAAAATAGATGTTTTCTGACTTTACTCTGGCTTTGGGCCTTAGCCGCGACCCGTGGCCACGGCAGGCCACGGCCACAGGTAGGCCTCTAGCCGACACAATGGTGTGAGCACTGTGGTCTGTCCGCTCTATGGCAAGCCGAGACATTCCTTTCATGTGGTATCAGGAAACATTCGTATTTAATTTGTCCTTTACCTCTGTCCTTTGCCACAACAATTACATACAATTCTGATGCAGACAATATTCACTTTTCCACAGAGAAAGAAAGCAACATCAGGGATATGGAAATGGCCAAACAAAACTCTGTAGGGGATGATGCACAACTAAACCAAGCCTTAGAAATTCAAAAAAAGTCCAACTCCCAATTACAGGACCAGATTTCTAATCTAATTGATCAGGCAAAAACTGAAAAAGACAAATTTAAGAACCTAGAACAGGAACACATGGTAAGGTTGCTCCCCTCTATTGCCCTTCCAACATTTAAACCTACAGCTTAAGTTATAACGTATTGTTCTTTTGGACCTAGATGGAAGTAAATGAACTAAAATCCCAGCTGAGAAAACTGTCTGACTCTCATGCAAAAGTGGTTAGCAACCTAGAAATTAAATGTAAAGAGGCTAATGAACTGCTGCTGCATAAACCAAAACAGGTGATCCATGTTTTATTAACGGCTGTTTTATCATCATTAAGATCCACTTTTTCTGTCAAAATCTTTGTAATTATTATATTCTTTGTCTTTTCCCCACAGGTTGAAGATGGATCTGCACTTTTATTGGAAAATATGATTACTGATGTTAAGCTACTAATGAATACACTTCACAAGGGCCTTAATCAGCAGTTTGCTCCAGATCAAAGCTATGATGGAACTCAAATCAGGTCATTGATTTCTGCTGTAGTCAAAGTAAGCCAACTTGCTCTTCATGACAGCGTCTTGCTTCCTAGCTGCTTCTATTTTATTTCTGAGATGTCTTTTTTTTTTTGTTGTTGTTCTAAGAGAGAAGCTCTTCTCTTTGTGGGTAAAATGGAGAAGCAGTGCACATCTGCCAATAATTCGTCAGAGATCAGTAGAGGTCTATCAAAGTTCACTTCATCATCTGCTGCTTCTTCAAATGTAGTCATGAAGGAAGATCAGAAACCCAAAGAACTTGCTGGGCCTGCAGATGATGAATTTTTCAGTGGTTCAACACAAAACAAGCTGGAGACATCTGTTGTGCAAAATTCAAGGAAGATGAGTGAGAATGAATCAATCTCAAACATTGAAAAACTGAGTACTCATTCTTTACAAGGTGCAGAATCACTTTCAGATGGAAAAGAGAAAGATCCCTCTATGGAAACAGTAAGCTCTTTTCTTTTTTATCTAGTTTACTGTCTCTTCTCTGTTTGAAGTTGTGTTGACACATCTTTTACTTTTCAGACTTGGCGTCCATCTCCTCCACCCCCACCACTCTTCCATGATGAGGATGACAGTGATGACTGGCTTACTTAAAGCAGCTAATCCACCTTATGAAACCTTTTCTTATGAAACATCTTAGTTGGTGATTCGAACAGTTAAATCATCATGGTACTAAGTAGAATATACTGTCAGAATTTTTCATGGTGATACTGTATTACTTCACCCATCCCCAAGCAGTTGTGTCAAAGTCTTATGATATTTACCTACAAAGCTTTTAAAGCATTATTTTTATATGATTTTATTAATGGTAGGGTACATTCCAATATAAAATGCCTGTTATTTGTCTTGTTAATCTTTATTGTGATAATATTTGTGTTACACTGTTAACTGCTTACAATGGTAGAACCATGCAATAATGAAGCATCATATGGAATTGTAAGTAACGTTTACATAACATTGACCTCTGGTGGTCAAGCTGCTCAAACCTCATGGTAGAAGCAGCAAACTATCAATTTTACAAATAAACGTGCTATGTTCTTGAATCTTTAATATTTTGTACATAATGTGATTCTTCATGCAAAGTGAACAGCTTGCGTGGCCTTAGTGCACATCTATTGCAAGAAGTAGATATATATTTATACATACATATTTATATATATATATAGACATATTAAATCCAAGCATGGAAGTAGTAGCTAAGCCGGAGTACAGAATCACTCTCATTGCATAACTTACACATGTCTAAGAAAGGCTGTAGCCACCCTCTTTAGAGGCATGGAATTTAATTGCGAGTGAAAGGAATCAAATCTTATTTTATTAAAGATTACATCTCATGGCGAAACATTCAAATTTACCAACTTCTTTCAATGTTACTTGATGTCAAATAACATTTTGACATTATGAATGCAGGAAAGCCTGAAAAGATTTCATCCAGTTCAAAGCAAATTACTGAACACACGAGTCATTTCAAACAAGAACAAACATGAAAGTAGCTAAGCCAGAATAAAAATAATGTACTACACATAGAATTAACAATCTAATGAAAGGGTTAACTACAGTTCTGCCATTCCATGGCATAATGACCCAAACATTAAAGAGGCTAAATCATAATAAACAATAGGATGGTAATTTAACTTAATATTTGACATAATAGGTGAAATAATAAGAACAGTCTGCAGACAAACTGAGAAATTTCAGACCCAAATTTAATAATAGTAACTAAACCATGGTATAGAATGTTCTAATATATCTACAAATTACAAAGTAAAGCAGCTGGCCACAAATAGGCATTTCAGATGCAACCTTGAGGTGAAACCAAAAAATATAACCAAGTATTTGACACAAAGAGCAGATGTCTGTAAATACTTGGAATTTCAGACTTCAATAAACTCCCAACAAAATAACTATTTTGAGTAATCAGTATGTACATTGACCTCAAGATTATATGTGATAGATAGTAGGACCACCGTTTAAGGCCTCTTGATAGTAATTGTTGGCAGGCCATTCAGGCCTCGAAGTTTCTTTGGCTGGCTGATTCACGTTCATTCTTCGCAAGTGAGCATCCGTCTTTTTGTGACGCTTCAACTTGGTAGTTGAATCAAACGAGCGAGAGCAAATAACACACGAATATGGCTTTTCATTGAGATGAGAACGTAAATGAATAGCAAGATGACCACTTTCAAAGAAACTCTTCTCACAGTACTTGCAAGTATGAGACTTTTCTCCAGTATGGTATTTCATGTGTTTTCGACGTTCTTGAAGAGTTACAAATGTTTTACCACACTCGTCACAAGCAAAATCTTTGACACCTGTGTGGAGTATCTCATGTCGACTTAATCCAGATGACGACAAAAATTCCTTTCCACAAGTTTTACAGACAAATCTGGGATCAGCTGAATGTCGTTTTTTGTGAGCAAGCAAGTTGCTCAACGTACGGAACTTACTTTGACACACCTCACAAGCATAAGGTTTTACATCAGTATGGGTCAGCATATGAGTTTTCAATCTCGAAGAAGTTAAGAAATTCTTGCCACACTCCTTACATGGATGAATTTTTCCACCACTACCTCTCTCCCCTCCTCCACCAGAACGACGTTTCTCATTGCCTTTGTTGAACTCCTTTCCACAACAACAACAGAAAAATGGTGGATTATCAGGGTTGAATCTTCGCTTCTGGCCAAGAGCTGGCTTTTTCTCTTCTTCATCATCTTTGCCCCCTTGGCAATTGAAATTCAAGCAACATGAGATGCCTTTCATAGTAGAGGTAGAGGAATGCACCCTCAACACATGGGATTTACACATGTTAATGTTGGAGAAACTATGGTTACATATATTGCAAATGAACTGAGACCAGCTGGATTGAGGGGATGTTACACTAGGCACCAATGAATGCTTCTGATGCCAATTCAATTCTTCTTTATTGAAAAATTTACTTAAGCAAATGGAGCACTGGAATTTAGCATCCATGTGAATCAGCTCAATGTGCTCATTCAGCTTCTCAATTTTGGGAAACGGAAGGGCACAAATGGGACATCCCAGAGACGTATCTAATTCATCTGGGTTCAGTCCTGGACTTGGACTTTTAATGTGGGTGCTCTGATGCCAAATCATATCATGTCTGCGCATGAAGCCAGATCCGCAGTCACAAAAGAATGACTTTTCATTCGAATGCATTCTCATTTCATGAGTTTTAAGGTAATCCATTCTCGAGAAGTCCCTAACACAGATTTTGCAGGTGTATATCTCTTTTACTTTTTCCCCTTTCAGTTTCATTGGAGGTGGTTTGATGTTGTGATATTTCTTTTCATGAAATATTTTATTATTGTAGCGGGAAAACATCTTCCCACAAACCTGGCAAGAAAAATTACCATTGGCCATCTCTTCAGGTGATAGACCAGATGCATCCAATCCACCAAATCCAGTTTTGTCCACATCATCACCAACTGACAGCTGCGAGTGGTCACAGTTATCATCCTGTGAAAAAACAAAGAAAAAAGCATGTTAGAAGAAATAAGTGAATTCAAAGTTGAGGACAGAAATTAATATGCATAAAAGAAAAACTGTTAGTGACAAAAGAAAAACACTTAACAAAAACCTACCTCCTTTCGATCGCCCTTCACACATTGCCGCAACACAGAGAAGGAATTGTGACAAACTTGCTTAAAGCTGTACCACTGATCAATTCTCTGGAAGCAGCTTCCACAAATTTGTCCAGGCATATCATCACTCTCCGAAACCTGCAAGTAAAATGTGTCCACTGAGAGATTTGCTAACGGGTATAATAAACTTTCCATGCAGCAGGTATTGGTAAAAATCTCAGAGATTTACAAAAATTAAAACAAAATAAAATATCTACCAAAAACATGAGATAAAAAAGATTTAAATGTGTTTAGAGAGAGATAAAATACCCACGGAAAAAGAGATTCGGATAAATATCTATGTCAACTTTTAAATCAACATTACATAAATATATGTACATGAAAAATGAAGTAAGTATGAACACAGCGCATTTCAATCTTCTTACCTCAAGGGACACAGTTGCAGTAATTTTAGAAGCGAGGGCAACTGCCGAGCTGTCAGATGTTTGTGTGGATATTGGTATCAGATCGTACTCTTGCGACAAACATAGTCGACAAGTCTTTGAGAAATCAAACAAGGGCATGCTATGGAAACTCATGGCGATGTTTGAAGCCAGCACAGGGTGCTAGCATCTGAATTAAAACAAAGACAATTACACTTCTACCATTGACCCAAAGCTCGAAAACGAAGCTGACAACAACATGGCGGCCCCGGGTTGACGACGCTTAGCAAACAACAGACAATCGGATGAACATTAATTTTTCTTACCACAAGACATACAAAATGCCAACTACTGAACATAATAAATCTTGTCGATGGAATAAAGTCGGGGGCTAAAAAAGATCAAATAACAGTGATTCTGAATATTTCTTTTACCTATTTTATTTTCAAAATAAAATAGAAAGTATTGAAATCGTATCGAAACACATGACATGTGGTGCGTAACAACACAAGTTTCTCAGTTACTACCCGACAAGTGAAATTTTTCATAATATTGAGGAGAGACACATGTGTTGAGTTGTAGTCTTTTAACATCGTATTTAAACATGAAAAAAATGACTTCAAATAACGTTAAAGGTGCCGTAAATGTGGGGCATCTACTAGAAAAATTAGAAACAGAATATAGCTTTATATCCAGTGTGCTTGACCGAGTGCCTCTCATATATTCTCAAGGTAAGAACATGAGTGGGAAGGTTAAGGCCAGCTATGTTTTTTACATCATGTCTTCTAAACAATAAGTTCCCTGGGTTAAGAAATGCTTATTTTTTTTCTTTGTTCATCTACCCCACGACTTCGTCGAATTTGCCTCTGTTCCTTTCAGGCCACGTACCATTTGTGACATAACTGTCTAATAATATGTTATGTTTTTATTTCAGATACCGAAGATGCAAGTGACGAAGACGAGAGTCAAAAGCATGGTAAGCACCTATCACTGAAGTATTTGAACGTGATTGGATTCTTTTGACACTACGTTCAGGCCTGATTATTACCCCATTGTTCCTAGCAAACGCAGTTATGAGCAAATCAGGCAACGCAACCAGAGCAAACACAGTTGAAGAACTTCAAGAGAGATTGGACGCCCTTAAATGTTGGTTCTCATATCATTTATTTTTTCATAATAATTAGTGTGTGTAAATCATCTTCATTACTATCTAAGATTTTCTTTCTTCTCCAGCTAAAAGTAAGCCAGGCATGAAGAATTCCATAAAAAAGAAGGACTTGGAAACCAAGCTGAGAAATAAAAAGAAGAAGGATGACAGAAATTCTGGACCTCATCGGCTGAAACGATTGGAAAAGCTTGAAAGACGCAAACATGAAATGAGGATGAAATCCGCAGAGAGCAAACATGAAATGAGGATGAAACCCTCAGAAAAAAGACCACCTGAACAAAAACCTTCCAAGCCAGTTTATAATAGTGAAGGGAAAATGGTCTTTAGCAAATTTGACTTTTCAGATGTAGGTTCAGTCAATGACTTAAAGAAAAAGAAAAAAGAGACAAAGGATCCGAAAAAAATACTTGAAAAGTTGAAAGAGAAAAAAGAAACCCTCAAGAAGTTGAAAGATGAGGGGAAAGATGACAAAGTTTTAAAAATGGTGAAAAAGGAAGCTTGGAGCAATGCATTGAAGAAAGCAGAGGGTATCAAGATAAGAGATGACCCAGAGTTGTTGAAGAAATCAATAAGACGCAAGGAAGCTCAAAAGAGGTCAAGTGCTAAGAAGTGGGCGTCACGTGAAAGTACAATCAAGAAAAAGAAGAAAGAAAAGGACGAGAAACGAGAAAGCAATCTTCAAAACAGAAAAGACTCGAAAAAACAGAAGAAGAGAGCTGCTGCCATCAAGAGAGGTCGTATTGTGCCTGGGTTTTAATTGACTCTTTGTCTCTGTTACCATTATCATCTCAAGATAAATATTGAACTTTCTTAATTGGGATTAGTCTTGTACATATTTCTGAAAATAAATTTCTTACTGTTATTTAAGGTATCATGTTGTCCTAATTTAAATTTAAATTCTTGTCATGCCAAGAAACATGTATTTGAGACTTTATTTATTTCCAATGTGCTTCACAATGGCAAGTTTCGTCACAGGGGCTGAGGTGCTGATTTCAGCACTGCTCGAAGCGTATCATTTGGGCTCATCAATCGTGTACTTGCGATTAGCAAGGAACCCCCTGATTTAAATTGAGGTGATTTAGCCCAGGCCTCTTGCATGAAGCGAATTTCTCCTCCAGTAATTCCGCCCAACACCAGGAATAATAGGTTTGGTTGTTCTGATGGATGTTGTGAAACGGTCGTTTGTTGCTTGTTTAACAAAATGCTGAGAATAAAAAAGCACAAATTAATGATGGTCAGTATTGAAAGAAATGAAAGAGGAGCATCATGAGCCATCTGTTACCTAAATCCACTTTTCAGAAGGTCCTTCAGCCCAGCTGACCTGCATGAAAGATCAGGTATGACAGGCTTTGACGGGTCAACAATGTCTCTTATGATACGTTGAAGGAGAGGGGTATACTCTGCAGGCACAGATTCACCCTGTCCTTTGAGTAAGGTCTTGTACTTAGTAAGATCTCGACGAGTATGAGACACCGCTTTTAAAATGAAAAATATGTGTGCTGCAATAGAATCCACCTTTTCTTTTGAGGCTTCCAATGGCACTGCAACAAATTTGCAATGACGTTTTGTTAGAAGTTAAAATGATAGTAAATTTCTGTAATCTAATAAGTGGCTGCACTTACACAGAATATCATGCACAAGGCCAGGGTACTCTTGATCTTCATAAAGAGCAGTACTGATTGCAGATTGCAGTTGAACTTCATCTCTCACCGGAAATGTTAAATCAGTACCAACCAATGAATACAGGAGAACAACCAATGTCAGGAGAGCATCTAGGTTCAGCCCCCTAATGTGCCGCTCAGTCAGTAATTTTGTGATCTGAAGCACCAACAAATCAAGTTCAAAACTTACTCACAAAAAAATGCAGCCAGAATTAAAGGAAAACTGTTCACCTGGGGCAATAAGCCAGCCAATTCACAAGTTTCTGCAGATGTTGTAACATTTTGCCTTAGTACTCGTTCTGTGCTTAAAATAAGTTCAAGCTCTTCAGCATGTTCTCCAGTTAAAGTTTGGACTACAGCCAGAGCAATCTAAGATTCAAATCCGTTCATCCTTTTTATGGTGGGAAAAAACAAGTGAAAAATACACAGATCTTTTAAGATAGACAAGGAAAATACCTGCAGGATCCCACAATTCTGTTCTATTTTTTCCAAATTGCCTCGAAATTGGCGGACATCTTTTTCTAAAGCCTCAGGTTTTACACGAGTTGCAAATTTATTACCAGGTGATAACTTGCTCAGTAAAATCCTGAACATAAAAAGAAAAACATGCTTGTAGCCCAAAATACAAGTTACTAGTATGATTTTTGTCACCAGAATTTATCACCAGATGCTGCATACTGATGTAAGTTGATGAGAATATCACGATCCTTTTTGTGAATAAACCATTCGATGACATTCTGACACACGCTATCCTGATGAGCAAGGCACCCTGGAAAAAGAGCTTCATCATTTGGTGAGTCCCTGTTTGGAAAAATATTTGGATTGAAATCTTGGTCATAGTTTAATTTAAAAAATATGTATGAAATTTGTGCCTTACACAGTGACCTGGGCAAGTTGAGACATATTCACAGCAACATCATTGGTCTGGTCTGGAATATGAGGCAAGGCACAAAGCACTTTATCTAAAAAACATTTTGAGTCGACACTTGATGGAAGACAAAGATCCAGAGTTCGGTCAACTATTACAACTGATAAGCGATGCTGTCCCATCTGAAAGGGAGAAGAAAATTGATCTTCAGTGGCATTTAAAAATCATGAACAATCTAAATAAAGGTCTTAATGTACCTTTCTACGGTGGTGGACAGAGGGTAAGTCTTCTAGAGCTGACGCAACCGCTCCACTAAGGGAGCCAATGCTAAAAACAACATCAGCCGCCCCCATCTGGTTGAACAAGGAGTCCAAAAATACTGCAAGACTCTGAGCTGTCGCAAGGTCTTTTAAAGAGATAACTTCTGGCTTGCTTCCAAAGGACTTGACCTAAAGCATAAAATTTTGATTATTGTCTCAAACAATTGGAATAATTTGCAGTGTCTGTTATAATTAATGTAATTAATACTGCTGTCATTACCTTACTCAGATCAAGGGAAGGGAACAGGTCTCGGAATGGTGGAAGCATAATTGTATTTTCAATGATTGGAGCAAAAAAAGCAGGAAACAAGAGGACATCTGCATGCAAATTCTATGGAAATAAAACAGTGAGAGAAACTTAGAAATTCTAGTTTCAATTTTGTCAAATAAAACTCAGCAAAAGATGAACACACAACATACCTGTAGGTTTCTATTCTTCATGCTCATCCACTGTAACAAATCGTGCTTGATTTTTGGAATGGCCAACTGTGGTTCTGGGAGAGGGGCAGTCACCAAGGTAATCGAATGGAATGAACTTTGACTTATTATATCACACAAGTCCACCTGAATCGTGGCATATGAGGATGCAGTTAAAAAAACTGCCTTCTCTGCATTATCTATTGGCTCTTGAGAATACTGTCAAGAAAGTACACATATTTAAAATTTATCACAGGGAATGGATTAAACAATTTATATGCCGCAAAAAAGAAATACCTTGTACGCATTTAATTCTTTGATGGCTAAAGCACCTTCAAGCAGAATATTTTCAGATCCTATACTCCAATGAAGGCATTCCCCAGCCTTTGAATCAATGAAAACCGCTGCATCTTGCAAATGATTTAGAACCTCCCTCCAGGCGGTTTGACACAAGTTCAAAAAATTTAGCTCCATAACAAACAACTCTGAAAAATTGCAAGAAAAATCAATCAGGCAAAAGAACCGATTTGTTACATCTAAGATGCTCAGTGTAAGAGGACTTGTTTGTTGATACCAAGAAAACATAACCCAACTACAAACATAAGCATAGAAATTGTACTTACAAATGAAAGGGCTTGGATTGAAACATAAAATGAACAGGAAAAACATGAAATGTGTGACACCAGTCACGGCTTATAACAGCCACCGTGAAAATAAAAGAAACAAATTACTTGTTGAACAAAGCAGACGATTTTTGTTTGACGTGACAGGTACAACTGTTCCCACCTTTACATTGTTTCTGCTTTGCTGCTTATAAAAACGTCGAATGACACGATATGTCCACCTATTGTTACCGGTCAGTACTCCCAGTTCTTTCCGATTCATTTGACAGCGTATTAAATGTGAATTATTTCAACTAATGAAAAGAAGCCGGTGATGTTTATCTCGAGAACGTTGGTAATGCGAATAAGTCGAATATCGAGGGGTCGACTGCAGCATCCCCTCCCCCTCCCCCATCCCCCGGCGGAAAGTTGTTGTCAAGCATGATTCCGTTTAAATTTAGCTGAGAAAGGGGTCCAATCGTGGAAAATAAACTGCAACGAGAAATTTCCGACCTTCTGACTGTACTTCTATCCGGGTGATGAGCACACAGAACCAAAGAACTGATATCTGATTTGAGCCCTTTCTGAGTGCACCCCATGTTGCAAGAAGAAGAGGAGAAGCAAGTGGTCGTTCTGTGTTGCCGCCATATTGGTGTAGCAAGTGTTTATCCATAAAGTTACACTGATGATTTCTAAATATTTTGAAGTTTGAGCGAGCCTACAGTGTCTCACTTGAATGCGGAGAAAAACCTTTCGCTTGAATTGAAATTTAGTTGCCGCTTCTAGTGGTTATCACATCACCAGTTCAGCTGCTGTGACGTCCCCTACCTGGGGCAAATTGTTGCAAATATTTTAGGCCTTTTCAATATTATTCCTGTGTCGTGCTGGATAAACAGTGAATTGGATGCTTTGTTGTATACTAAGTGCTTGAAAAGCCAAGTGGGTTCTGCAACGACCGTTCCAGAGTTCTTTTAAGAAGTGGAACGGATAATTAATGTATGCATTGTCCGGGGGGGCTCACCTAGACTAATGTACCCTAAAGGGTTGAACAGGTCATGCTACCGACTATTTTGCACTTCGCGAGTGTTAAATGTGACTCTTAGAGATTCCATCGACTTTCTAAATCGTTACAAGTCACCCTGAGGCTTCTAAAATGTCTTGGGACATCAGTTTGACTTCTTCCTCTCTTCAGAGATGGATGGTTTTGCTTCTTGTTATTGTCATCAGTTTTGGTAAGTTGACCATTATTTGGCCTCTTTTTCCACTTACCCTTTTCAATGGTCCACATTTTTGATTATTTAAGATGTTTTTAATAGCTGTAGGTGTAACTTTTCTATCAACCGAAGAACAAAGAGCATTAATAATGAATGAGATTGTCTGCTTCAAATTAGTTTAAGCGATCCGGGTTGTTTGGAAGCATATTTTGTTTTGATATCTGAGACAAACAATCCACTGTCTTACATTGTCTTGGTTTTTAAAATCCCTTGTGTCGATTTTTTATCTTGAAATCCCCCCTCCCCCTCTTTTTTTCCTTTTCTTTTTTTCTTTTTTGCTTTGCCATTTTTATTGAATTTCTTGTTTAAATTATGGTACCAATCGTAACTACTATGCATCTTAAATTTTTTTACTTTCTTTGTTTCATTTTAGTGCACGTGTCAAGCACTCATGCAATCACAGTGACAAAGCGCTGTGAGTTCCACAATGATACTATGTGTCAAGAGCTAGGAAATGGCTGCAATGAAACCCAGGAATGCAACAATGATGAAAACAAACGGCACCATTGCTTTGTCCTTTGGCAAAACAATTCTATGGGACAACCTTATGTCAAACTTAAGGTACCATCACATGTGCTTAACTTATCTTCTAATGATCGTATTTTTAGTAGTCTTGTGGATGTGCCTTGTTTGTCAGTTTTCCTCTTCTTTTAATGCCGGTGCATTCTAATTTTTTGTATTATTAATATTATAGGGATGTTTCCTCAACAACATGGAATGCTACAATCAGCCTAGGTGTGTGGAAAAGAGAGAAGGACCTGAAAAAGATATGTTCTTTTGCTGCTGTGAAGGTGACATGTGTAACAGGGAATTCACATGGGAACCCACACCAGCCCCACCCCCAACTTTGCAAGGTATTTATACATAAAGTAACTTCAGTTTGCTCTTTCATTTCTCTTCACAGACATGCATTTTGCTTGTTTCCAATATTCTATGTACAATTAATATTCGATGGAACTTGAACGTTCTTTCAGCCCCGATGCCACCAGCCAATCAAGAATTCAAATATATTTTGATAATACTGTTGATGCTGATGGTCGTGGCAGTTGTCATAGCTCTCACATATTGGTATTACAGAAGGCGCAAGTTGGCTTATTTCAATGAGGTAAGTTCTGTTTTTTTAGGACATTTGAACCATATTGCTAATAATTCTTATAATTAGGCTTTAAGTCTCAGTTTTACTCCTGCTGACACCACTAGTCTTATTTATTACTGTTGAGTGGTGGTTCAGCAGTTTCATTGCATTTTTTTTCTATTTTTCATTTTTTTATCTAATTATTTTGTACCTAATATCTATCACTCAAAGTCTACATTATCATTCATGAATGCAGACTTGACCATTTCATTTTGAATTGTAAAGAAAATGAAGGATCACCCATATTTTGGGCATGGTATGGATACAAATTTACTTATTTAAATGTTTGTCCTTGCCTCTCCTTTATGGGTTATTCCTGTTCAGTGGGTGAGTGATCCGTCTCCAAATAATATTGCATGTTCTATTGATTTGCAATGTATTGCTGTAATTCTTCACAATTGACTGACTAAATGAGATGCACACAAATATACTACACTTGCTAAAGCTGTATATATGTGCATCTACGTTAAACAAATTGAGGTTGCTCGTAGCTGCCACATTTTGAGCATTGTCTTAGCTCAGCCATGTATTCACCATGTTTGTTGGTTTGAGGTTGGAGTTCATGGCACAGTTGCAAAAAGAAAGCAATTTCAAAAATCATATTGCTTTTTTGTTTTCTTGTGAGTGTTTTTTGGGGCAGTTGAAATGAATCAACTTGCCATTGCCTGAGACACATTTTCTCTGTTCCTCTCTCATGTATAGAGACCCAAGTTTTGAAGTGCCTGCTTCTTTTCCCTTGCCTTTTACCTGTTCCCTGCGTCTGGATTTGTAGACTTGAATTGCTGACACTTAGTTGTGTGGTACCACACGTAAGGAAATGAAGGGCGTCACTGGAGGCAGTAACTGCAGCAATTGCATGGCCTGCAGTTTGTCTTGCATGGCTGCCCATCTCATTCGTCTTCTTGACAATCCTGCATCAACTTCATATTTGACATGTTGTAGTAACACATAATTCCTTTTTCCTCCCTTTTTTTTCTGTCCTTGATTTTTTTTTAGTTCCTGCATTTTGTAGTGTTTTGTTCATGATTGTCATGTTCCCTAAAAGGTCCGAGATTGCTTACAGGTGCCAACTATGGAGCCCCGGTCCCAAGCTCTGGAAGCTCCCTCCCAAGGCCTGCTCCCAATTCAACTCCTTGAAGTGAAAGCTCGGGGTCGTTTTGGAGCTGTGTGGAAAGCACAATATCGGACTGAAACAGTTGCTGTCAAAGTCTTCCACATTCAGGTATTAATTGCTCTGTCCAGACAGAGCAAAATGTCTTTCAACTTGATAATATGGCAGTGTTCACTTTGAAAGACAAGGTGCATGATCATTATGCTATGCCAAATGGCATTAACATTTTTTGTAAGGTGTAGACCGTACAGAGAACGCCTTATGAAATATTTTCAAATTTCACTTCAATGAAAAAAAGAGCTAAATTTCTTAACATTTTGAAAGAAGTTTTCATTTATATGGTAGATGAAGATTTAAAGGCCTACCACAACACCAACACAGTCAGTGCAATGACATTGTATAATGTTTCCCTCCACAAAAGGAGACAGGAACACATTTCCTGCTTTGCTCTGAATGTGTTAAAATAATGATTGTTGTGGAAATTTTGACTTGACAGCCCTTATTTGTGATCTTGAGGCAGATTTTCCTAATATGATGCCACATTATAATTTAAGGTTTCTCATATTGGACATATTCCCTTTTCTCAAGATTTGCCTTTTCCTTAAGAGAAATCAAATAAATTATTGTGTTGTTTTTTTTATTCTTTTTCTCTCCTTTTTTTTTTGTGGAGTTCCAATAATTTGGTAGGATTTGTATTCTGTTCTAAGCAAAATATTTAATGGAAATCATAGCCAAATTTTGTGCCAAGATATGTTACTGATTTTTAAGTTGTATTTTGTTTTACACAAAATTTTTAAGTTGAAATCAGTCAAATTTTGTGCCAAGACATGTTCCTAATTTTTGAGTTTGACAATTTCCAGGAAAAGCAGTCTTGGTACAGTGAACAGCTGATATATCAGCAGCCTGACATGGATCATCCCAATATACTGCATTATATTGGTGTTGAACAGCATGGAGACAATCTCCAGGCTGAGTTTTGGCTGATCACTGCTTTCCATGAGAAAGGCTCTCTGTGTGATTGGCTGAAGGCAAACATTGTTAGCTGGCCAGAACTTTGTCGTATTGCTGAAACCATGGCCAGGTAATTTTGTGTTGACTAGAGCTGCTGAACTTGTTTCTATTCTTAAAACTTATTCCCTTTTATACAAAATCTTCATTCCTGAATTTTCTCTAGGGGTCTTATGCACTTTCATGAGGAAATGCCGCCCAGGAAAGGTAATGGTTACAAGCCGGCAATTGCCCACAGAGACTTCAAGTCCAAAAATGTACTGTTGAAATCAGATCTCACTGCCTGTATAGCAGACTTTGGTCTTGCTCTAATCTTTGAGCCTGGGAAATCTTGTGGTGACACTCATGGCCAGGTCAGTCAATTAAAGTAGGAAATAACGGAAATATTCAGTAGGGGTACTCATATTCTCCTCCTGTCTTATTTTCCAGGTTGGTACTAGACGTTACATGGCACCAGAAGTACTTGAGGGAGCAATCAACTTCTCACGTGATGCCTTCCTTCGCATTGATATGTATGCTTGTGGACTTGTCCTCTGGGAGCTGGCTTCACGGTGTACTGCTCAGGAAGTAAGTGCATAACTATACATTTTTTTAATAATAATAATAATTGAGTAGGCAGAGAACACAACATATTGTAATTCTGCTGACAGGGTCCTATTGGTGAATACCGACTACCATTTGAAGAGGAAGTAGGGCAGCGACCTACTTTAGAAGATATGCAGGAATGTGTGGTTCACAAAAAGCAACGACCTATATGCCCAGACACATGGCGGAAGCATCCAGTATGTTTTATTAATGTGTTCATTGGGTTTGCGTTCAATTCAAATATAATTTTTAATTTCTCTATGAGACTGAACTGAATGCTCTTTCTTGAATTGTAGGGACTCTCTGCCCTCTGTGATACCATGGAGGAATGCTGGGATCATGATGCGGAGGCAAGACTGTCAGCTTCTTGTGTTATGGAGCGATTACTGAATCAACAGCGGCTGTTGGCTCATCCTGTGACACAGTTGCTGAACATTGGCACTGTAGACATCCCTCCATGCTGTCCCAAGGATGCCAGCTTGTAAATATTATTGTAAAGCTGTTGTGAGTTGCTCACTCTACCATTTCTACCTCAATTGACACAGCCATGTTGGATGGCTCTGTATAGTAGGTATGTGTTTGTTTCTATTTTAATGATCATTTCTTTCCTGTGAGTGAAGGCTCTATTCTGTGCATTGCAGTTTCATTTTTAATAATTTCTTTGCCTTTTTCATTTCAGGATTCGTCAAAGACTGAACTTTAAAGATGTGTTCTTTGCAGTGTGTCTAGCAGCTGTGCCCTATGTGCCAATGTAATATATAGTTTCAAGAATAAGTGTACAGTTACAAAAACAAGTGAAAAAGCAAAGTAAAACTTGCAAGTTAAAACTGTGTGTGGTGTGCTTAGTGCTTCAAGTTCAGAAAAGGAAAGACACAATGTACAAGCTATATGCCCTGCATTTCAAAGTCCTCCTTTGGAAGAAACTGTGGGCAGAATAAAGAAGACTGTGAAGCGAATTTGGCCAAGATAATATTTAAGACTGCACCAGCGTGATGTGGGAAATGATTGAGTCCCTAGGGACTGATAAAGTTTGGAAAATTGTGGAAACGGGCAGTGCCCATGTAAAAGCCTCTTTTGTATTCAGTATTTTGTTATGTAGTTTAAAATGCCTTATTGGAAAGCACATTAGATATCCACTTTGCTAAAGACAAGAAAAATTGTTCAAAAAAAAATTAAAAAGAAAGTAGAACTAAATTTATTCACAGTATTTTTGTCTTGTTGTTTGTTATTGGTTAAATTTTAAAGTTTGCTTTTATTTTTAGCAGTTTCCCTCAGCAATGTTTTAGGTTGTGCTCATATTAATGATCTCTAAATTTTTGTCCATATGAACACATTAACCCTAAACCAACGCCAGTTTTATTTTCGTGCAATGTTCTGTGTAAATTTGAGCTGGTTCAAATGATTCCTCTACTATTATTGGTCTCATTGACCATTTTCATATCTTGTGAGATGGTTTTAAGTTGGAGTTTTTCTTTGACAGTCAGTCTCTTTCATTCACAGTCCAGTTATTTACTGTCTATTTTGTTTTAACTGTTTAGTGACTGGGGTGTGGCTTAGTCTTGCAACGGCTTGTGGTTTTGTTTGATCACTGGTAGGTAGAGTATGTGTTCACGCGTCTTTGATCAATTTAAACCGATACCTATTAATAGGTAAAGGTTCATTGTGTGATTTTTTTATTTTGAATAGTTTTTAGTCCGTCCAGAAAGTTTTAATAGGTTGAGCAGCTAGAGCACCCCACTTCCACCCCCAACCCACAAAAAAAGAAAAATAAGGTTCAGGGAAATTTCATTGTAAGGGCGTTTCCAATTAAATCCAGGTACTTCATTTGGTGAAGTAATTAAATACATCGATGAATGAAGCTCGTATCTTATGATTATTAATCAAAACTGTGATAAAATGGAACATTGATTGATTGTGGAATACTTTTACCTGTCTGAAAGGGTTGGTTAGTTTCTGACAAAACAGCATCTTGCAATTGAGTTGCAGTTACAAAGCTTCCATTCAAGTTCGCTTGTAGGAGAAATTTTTCTGTAACATATTCAAAATTTCTCTCTAAGAAGTGCCTGGCAATTCCTATTGCTCTTTATGTTTTAGTTAAAAAGCAACTGATTGCAATCCACGTAGCCATTGTTTTAATTATTATTTTAACTGGACTGATGGGTGTTATGTGTTTTTTTTTTGTTCTCTTTTTAATAGTTTTATTGTGTCAGTTAATGTTACTTGTTCTGACTATTGTAGTGCACATCTGTACCCTATCTCGATATTGAATACATGATGCAAGATAGGTGCCATAGATTCCCCTTTTTTTGTTTTATTTAAGCAATCACATGGTGTACATGAGAATTAAGTAATCACTGGAAAACTTTATGAACTCTCTATGTAGAAATGTTAAGGAAGTTAATTGTTCTCGTGTTATGACTTGCATGTTAGGTTAATATTTGCCAGTGCTCATTCCTGTACCCAATTTGTTTGGGGGTTTGGAAAGGGAAAGACCAAGTTCCTATTTACATTTTTAAAAAAGAAAAAATAAGAGAAATAAAAAAAACAATCACTATTGTTTGTGGTGACATGTTTTCTTTCTTTAGGATGTTGTTAATATTTTTATTTCTATGTTACAATTGTTAATGGAATGTTTTATAAGTTTTGCTAGACTAATCAGGTCCTGCAACCAATGCCAATGCCATAAGTGTATTTAATTTGGTACTGAGTAAATTGATGACAGCCGTGTGCTTTTTCACAATTCTAAAGAAATTGTTTTTGTGTGAACCCTGACGGACCTTTCTCCTCTGAGTCAAGAGCTTCATATCTTCTTAACTGTCCACTTCTGTTAACTTGAACAATGATTTAATGTTGGACTTTTTGAAGCTGAAATAAAAACGATGCATCTTGATGGATGCATCTAATTTTGTCTGGGGCCAAGTTCTGTTCCAAAGAATCTTCGCATGACTTGAAGGATTGTCCACAAACTTAACATCCAAAACCAGCCAAGAACACTAAATAAAACCTGTGCATTATGGTTTCATAGGATTTAAAGGTGCATTTTTCAGTACCCACTGCTTCTTGTTTACAAGCTTTAAATAACAAGCATTCTTTGCCTTCCTCAAACAAATTTGTCTGTGTGAATAGCTTTGATTATTGTTAAAACAAATGCTAAATGCCTTGCACAACTCCAGTTACCATGTTAATTACTGCAAACTCAAATGTTAATTTATTGTTAATAAACAAATAGTGCATGCAAAGATTTCCCTTCATTTTTAATTTTAAAAAAATTGAGTGAGAGGGTTGAGTGGTGCTGGTTCTATCTTTGGTTTACTTCAAGACTTATGCTTAATATGATTCAGTAGTAAGGTGTAGATGCATTCAAATTGGATTTAGTCTTCTATTCCCACTAAAACATTGGAAATCTATTCCTCTTGTCTTATTTCTTCCCTTGGCCCTTTGTACTTAATTTCTAATCTCATCCAAATCACTTGACCAGAGACAGACTGGCTGGCCAAAGAGAGCACGTGTCCAGTTTCCTTCTTTGCAATTTTATGGCCGGAATCATCTTGTTAATTCAGTTTCAGCAGTATTTCTGTGTGACTTGGAGTACAAATTGATAGCCTGCATAATCACTTTCCACTCATTTTTTTTTCCTCTTCATAATTAAGGTCATTTAGCACAAACTGTTTTGCGTATGACTCATCTCACATATCTGGGGACAGAATAAATGAACTGTTTACATTCTGCCCTCACAATCACTTATTTGCGCTCTTGATTTCATTCAATTAGTAGTTGTCTTGTTGGTATTGATGGTTTCAGAAGTATTGATGTGTTAAATGTTTCCTTTCCTAATTGTTTCAGTCTAAAGAGTCCCTACAATGCTTAGCCCTTATGTGTGATTTAAATTGAGGCGTGTTGCTTAAGGTCTACTGTAACTTTGTACGTCTACTATGATCTTAGTAAGTTTCTGTTGATTTTGTTGTATGTCAAAGTGAGTATTTGGATGAAAGTGTTCTCATTTAGTTGGATGGGCTCACTCTTGGCAAACTTTAATTAACTAAATGATTAAATGAGATTACTCCAAGTTTGTATGTCTTAACAAATTGATGTTGATGCTCTAGAAACCCAAGAGTGAGCATGCTTGGTTGGTTGACTCCACCTGGCACAGGTCAGGTAAAGTCAACAGTGCACAAACTTGGGTTTCTAGACAGGTTGGTGAAACGACATCACATTTGTTTTCTGACTTTTTCAAATCACCTCAGTAATCTCTGATTGCACATACCATATATAAATGAAATCAGATGGCACTTTGAGTGATGCAGACACTTTGGGTTTTCAAGGACAAATCCACATATATTGTGCTGGACTCTCCCTTTACCCTTTGAACTCTTATCACCCCCTTCCTGTCCCCTTTCTGCCCTGTTAAGTGTGACATTTGTTTAGTTAAGAGATTCTGCAGGGTATGTACCATAGTGTGTAGCAATTAAAAGTACAAGTTTTACTACATAATTATTGGACTTAAAATAAATTGTGTATTGATGTGTTTTTTTCACAGTTCTTGAGTTTACGGTTAACTGTCACGGTCAGTTTGGCATTATCATAGATTGTGGACATAGCTGCATAGTTCAAAGGGTTTCTGTTTGATTAAATGTTCCAATAATATGTCTCGGAGAAATGAAATTGATATGAAACACTGTGACTTCTGTGAGATACATGGACTTAACGTGATTATTGTTACAGAGTTAAGTCATTACTGAACAGTGTTACTGTTACTTTGGTCTGGTCAATTTAGCTCTGCTTTGTTTGAACTTATCGAACCTTTCTACAAAGTGTCCATCTTATTGATAGACTGATATTACAAAACACAAAACAAAAAAATCACCTCATTTAATTGGGTTTTTTATATTGACTGATTGTTTTCTGTGTATTTTATTACTTCTTACTATATTGTAGATGTTTGTTATTAATTTCATAACTTGTGTTGTTTTATAATTCTCTTTACTGATGCTTTGTTAAAACTTACAATAGTAATAGATTTTTCTAAAGATATCAATGCACTCTTGTTTGATGATTACAATTGTTCTTTATTAAACTGCCCATTCTCTTTTGTAATTTTTTTTTTTAAATAACAGAAGGACAGTTGATCTTGTGAGGCTGTGAAATGACACTCTTAAAATTCCACATTGTCTATGTCATTTGAAAAGAAATATCACAAAGCACAGCCAATGTGGTGTGCTTTCAAAAGTCAATCAATCAAAAGAATAAAGCCTTCGCTCAATTGAAGAAAAAATTGCAGATTGATGATACAGTAACTGTTGTGAAACTGCAAGGAAAGTCTCTTGAAAATTAATGCAGCTTCTCATTGTTGTTAGTTTTGGTTTCAGCCTTGTTTTATCTCATTTCAATCAGTCAAATAATCGTATATACATTAAAATTTTTACCTGTATTGAACAAATGTTTTTGTACGAATAGATTATGTTTCTTCTTTTTTGTAAGAATTTGTAATATTAAGCAATGTTGGTTGACTGCTGTTTGCAATTGGTCATACCTGTGTAGTATTGTCATCAGGTTGCTGTATAAATGGTTCTACTCTTAACTGTATGTGTGGGAGAATAAAAACCAACATTTGTGTCGTACAATTGTGCTATTTTAGTCCTCCAATTCCTTCGTATCCCACACAATTGAAAAACTCACAAACTTTTTATATTTGTAAACTATTTATTTACACCTTTATTGGCTATCACGATCATGATGAAAAAAATGGGAGGAAATGTGAATGACTTATCAACTAGGTATAGAGTTTAATTCTGAGAGTCAACCTGAGTCTAAACAGACCAGCATTCTTGTTAGGCAGGAAACTATGGCCAGGTTGATTTGTACTCCTATATAACATATGTCAGCATCCTATGACACAAGATTCTTATGCCAAAAACCTAAGCATACCATTCTTTATTTTTGGGTAGAGAAGCTTCTCAGCTGATGATGATGGTGAAAGTAATACGATTTTCTCTCAAAATGGCAACTTATTAGATCCGAGCTGTTTTCAGCACAGCTGTTGGTTAGCAAACGCCCTAAGCGTCATAATAGGTACTTGTTTTGCAACTTAACACATAAATCCATGTAGCTATATACAAATGCCCCCCCCCCTTCCCCACCCTTCTTCATCCCTGCTTTCTCTTCCTCGCAGAACACCGGTACCGGTGTTCCTCGAGTTTATTTAGAAGTCATATGAGTTTTTCGTGTCGTCGTCTTTCTTGGGTCTCAGCAGGACACGGTAGACAATGCCGGCAACAGCACCACCTACCAGTGGAGCCGCCAGGTACACCTGCCGAAAACATACCATGTATAGCAACAAGCGGTGACACGTGACGCAACTTCCGCGCGGCTCAATCACCCAACTTACCCACACGTTGAGGAAATTCCCTTGGACAACAGCGGGGCCCAGTGACCGAGCTGGATTCATGCTGGATCCTGTGTAATTTATCTGAAACAAATCAATCACCCGCATGTTTTTACTGATGGCAAATTGGGGCATCAGCCTTTTTCTAATTCGGCAGACGAACACTGCGGGGTGAGTGTGGGTCTCCTGAGTTCTGCGAATCCCCCTGAAGGTGATATGACTCCCACTCTGACCTAATGAAATACATCTGGGGATCCGGTGCGTTCTCCCAAGAGAGTCCTGACATAAACTTTCCAGTTCAAACTTGAAAACATAGACAAATTGAGGTTGTCCCACGGGCACCGCCGTCACACCGCCGTGATCTAGGCATTCCCGCCGCCAGAGCTGCGTCTGGGACTGCCGACTCGCCAGGCGCCGAGGCGAGGCGAGCCTGTCCTGTCAGGGTCCGCATGGCAGACTGCCGCCAGGGTGCGGGCCGTGGGGCTGCACTTACAAAGGCTAAATGGCAGGCGGTGATGCTGAAGCCGACGGCCAGCTTGCCGGCGAAGCCCTCCTCGGCGAGGGCCAGCACGGCCTGCACCAGCAAGTAGGTGATGACGGCCTCGATGACGAAGCCCTGCCACCACGTCACGCCGTTGCTCAGCCCCGTCACTCCCAGGCCGTTGCGGTTGCCGCTGGGCGTCGTCACCTGCGAACCAAAACAAGGTCCAGATGCAAAATACACAATAGTGCGTAAACGAAGATGGGAGGTCTACCCCCTCTGAACAAGTAAACTTGAGTGCCTGTTCAAACCCAAACACTGCCAGCGGTCACTCACGAGGTGGATGGCGGCGCCGGTGATGGCGCCCAGGCACTGGAATACGGTGTAGAACAGCGCCTTGAGGAAGCTGCAGTCCCCGGAGCAGAAGAGCCCGAATGACACGGCGGGGTTGATGTGGCCGCCACTCACTGGCCCGATGATCTGCAACAACAACGCCACCCTCCTGCATGACTACTGCAGTGGCACCCCCTGGTGCCTGCCCCCCCTGGTGCCACACATGACACACGTCGCAGCGTGACCGCATTTTAGCACGTCGCGGCGTATTGTTGTCGTATCCTTTGCAAAGGTCTCGTGGCTCCACGCATTGTCTCCCGCCCCGCCCCACCCCGCCCTGCATTTATCTCGTGCTTTGGCTTGGCGGCCGGGCAATTGTCAACTGCGGTCGCGGCGGCGCTTCGCTTCGCCCGGCTTCGCTTGCTTCGCTCCGCGTCTTGCTCCGCGTCCCAAGGCCGGCCGGCGGCCAGTCTTTTGCTCCGCGGCGCTCTGCGCTCTGCGGTCTGCTCGCCAAATGAGGCATGTCACTCATTCCTGGCGGGCGGACATTCGATGAACGCCTCCGGACCGCGCGCAGCAAGGCGGCAAAGCGGCAAAGCCACTCGCGGCCGGTGGGCAGGGAAGCGCAAGGCGACTTACACTTACAAGGGAAGGGGCGTTCGGCTGAAGCGGCGTTTCGCTCCAGCGAGCCACCCCCAGCAGTGACACGCCGACACGGTGCTCGACCAAGAGACAGAGTTTGGGTTTGACACGGCCTCGACTTGGTCTCGACTCGCCTGGCCGGTGGGCCAGGCCGCCTCGCCAATCGCCTCCCTCCAGCCGCGGCGCGGCCATGTCGAATTTCCCTCCGAAATGAGGAAGATCGCTCCGAATGTCGGTCGGTGGCCGCGGCGGCGCCACAGTGCCCCCGGCCTACCCAGTCGAGCGATTCCGCTGCCCGCGCCTCTCACTCTGCCTCTCTCGCACTCATGGGGTGTGCCAGGGGTGCGAGAGAGACTCAGGCCGCCTCAGGCGAGGCGCGGGCCGGGGGCCGTGCCGGGGGCCGTGCCGGGGGCCGTCCGTAGGGATGCGCGGCTGGAGGGCCCCGGCGCGTCGGCGCCTTGGTGTGGGGGCGCCTGGTCCTTTCCTTCGCTCCACGATTTAGACAACTGATGTAATCGGGCCGCGTATGAGCCGCCATCGGTTTGGGCGCGCTATTGTTTCGCATTGTGTCCCGGCGGGCTGTGCTGCGTCCCCGGCGAGGCGAGGCGAGGCGGCAAGTGACCTACATGCGCGTGGCGCTGCGGCGCGGCGCGGCGGGGTGCGTGCCGAATAGCCGAATCAGCGCGCAGAATCGCCACCGACTCGACATCCTCTCGGGACCCCGGAGACGGAGACAGAGTAAGAGCGAGAGAGAAAACAGAAAAAGTTCCGTGTCCCCGCGTGTGTGTTTGAACCCGCGTTCCCTGAAAATTGGAGCGCGGCGCGCGGGCAGGACTGCCGGTCCACGGCGCGGCACCGCGGCACCGCGAGGCCGCCAAGGAGGCCGCTATTCGCTCCACACGGTGCTCGGGGGCCGCGGGGGGCCGCGGGGGCCGCGCCCGCGTGGACGGGCACGACGGGGGCGGAGGATTCCACCACGTAGCGGCGGCGCGGCGAGCCAAGCCTTGCCCCTTCGGCTGCCTACGGCAGCCTGCCGCCTTCGGCGCCCTTGGCCGAACAAAGGCGAGGTGATGGATATTTACCCTCCGACCGATCTGTCTGTCTGCTGGCCCGTCCGGCCGTCTGTCCGTCTATCTGCTGGAGGCTGACAAGCAACTTGACGTCCTGCTGTCACACCAGTACGCCTATTGATTGCACTAGTAACTGTCACTGGGAAAGAAAAGCCCTCCGCGCCAATCATGTCGCTGCAAATCCAGCAGCAGCATTAACAACATCATCGTCAACAACAACATCAACAATGTCGGCCGCCCCGTTGCCTTCATGCTGCGTGCATGCGGGAGGCATTTCCCCCGCGCGGGCCAGGTCACGGCGCCGCGGCCCGACCGATGGCCCGACGGCCCGGCCCCACCGGAGGGACTCGCCGACTCGCCGGCCGCGGTCTTTCATTTTTCATGAATTATTGTTGGCGTCGGCAGCGCGCGCGGGGCGGGCAGAGTCACCACACACGGCGGCCCGGCCTATATGAGGGAGGAGTCAAGGCCCCTCGCCGTTCCGACGCCCCCCCCCCCCCCACCACCACCCGGCTGCCCGGGCCATGTGGGGGTCGTGACCCTGCATCGGAACAGGACTATTTACATAGCAAGTGCAGTGGTCCATACCCATACCCGCGCGCACTGTCATCCAGAGTACAGCAGGCACTGCTTCAAGGAGCGGGGCGGTGGAGGGGGCGCGGACGCGGCGGCGCGGCGACGCGACGGCAGGCGGGGAATTCCCCCTCCCCTCCCCCTTTCCACTCCCCGCGCGCAACTCCCGCGGGATAGACCCGTGAAAAATGGGAGCATCTTGGTGACGCAAAAATGCAACCTCACGGTGGGACACGACAAGCGGAGCAGTGCGCGTGTGCGCGCGTGCACACGGCACGGCACGGCACGGCACGGCACGGCGGCGCGTGGGCAGGAAAGCCGAACACCTTCGGGTGTGACTCGTTCAGAGCGGCCACGAACGCTGTAGCATTAACGCGGACTGAGTGACTGAGTGACTTGTTTTGAATGAATGTTTCGGACGGCGCCTCTTTGAAGTACAGCGCCACGCCGACTTGGTCGTGGTCGCATCCGGACTTTGACCAAAGTTCTGGCCGTTCCGGCCCAGCGCTGCGCACTGCCCGCCGCGCCGCGCCACAGCGCCCGGCGGGGCAACGCAACGCAAGCAGCTCGCCTTCTGTCCGTCCGTCTCCCTCCCTCCCCCGCAGGTCCCCATTCTGCTTTCCTTCCCTTCCCGGAATGGCGCGCCATGGCGGTGCGGTGCGGTGCGGTGCGGTACTCACATGCGCTATGACGGCCACGGCCAGGCCGAAGGTGAAGGCGATCTGCACGACGGAGGGGGCGCCGTTCTCGGACCACTGCGCGCTGGTGGCCCCCGTGCCCACCACCACGAGCAGCATGGTGCCCACGAACTCGGCCAGCAGCGGCCGCAGCACCCGCCGGTCCGTCACATCGTCGATGCCCAGCGTCGCCCAGCCTGGAACAGGGGAAAAGGGCTTTGTTAGCCGTGCTTTTCACGTCGCAGCGGCCGCGGGTTCGGTACCCGGCGGGGCGAGTTCCCTTTTCTTGGCGCGCGCGCGGAGGGATGCAGGTGGCTCGGCCGGACTTCCCCGCCGCGCGCCAGATGAGTGCTTTCTGATAATCATAACGACCGGGACGGCGCGGCGCGGGGCGGCGCGGGGCGGCCAGGGGCGGCGCTCGATGCGGTGCGCGGCTCGGCATTGACCGCAGTGACGACGCATCTCTGGAGGACGCGTGGCGCCGCGCGGCACAGCCAGGCACGGCGCGTAGACGCGTAGCAGCGCGGGGCAGCGCGCGGGCTGTGAACACTACCGTAACTGCGCCGCGGACTGCCCTGCGTAACCCAAGAATTACCCGCCCCCTCCTCCCCCCCTGACGTCGGCGCGTCGGCCGAGCAGCGCCACTTCCTTTGTCCCAGACAGCTTTGCGGTGGACCCCTGGACCTCTGGACGCGGTCTGGACTCTGTCTAGGTCAATGCCAGCGGCGCCGGCGGCCGACGCCATTGGCTCTATTTCTCCAGGACTCCAGGGCGAGGAGGACCGCCCGCGCGCAGGGCTACGCATGACGTCAGCGCGGGGCCACACCGCCCACGTCCGCGTTCATCTGTCTGTGTCTCTCTCGCGCCTGCGAGGAGCGCCCCACAAGTGAGAGAGAGGGAGACCGATGAAGTTCGGAAACCCGCCCGCTGTGGTCATTCGGCCAAATCGAGGCACATTTTCCGGGCGGTGGGGGTGGTGGGGAGTTTCAGGGATTATAGTGCAGGGCACAAGAACGTGGACTTTGATTGACGCGCGCAGGCGCAGCAGCGCAGGACAAGGAAGTAGCCGCCTGATCCGTTTGGGGGAGCGCCTGTCGACGAGAGGGTAGGCCACCACGCGCGACACATGTGCGCTGCCTGCGCGGGCATGGCCTACCCGCCAGGCGCTCGGAGCGACCGGATGCGTTTCGAGCTCCAGAGTCGCTGAATGGGACTTGAACCGAACGTGTGGCCACTTCCTTTCCAATGGATTCCTCCTTCGCAGATCAATCCATTGGAGCACGGTCACACGTTCGGTTCGACTCCCATTTAGCGACTCTGGGGCTGAAAACCGCCTCCACCGGTCTTCTGGCCCACTGTACGTCGTCGAGGCGATGCAGCCGTACTGCAGCCTGCAGTGCAGCCTGCAGTGCAGCCACTGCCCTTCGCCTTCGCCAGGCCGCGCTGCGTGGCGCTGCGTTTCCTGGTCCCTAATCATAGCCGTCGTGCCGGACCGGACCGCGTTCGATCCCCCCACTGCAAGTCGGCGGGCCGCGGGGCCACCGGGGGGCCGTACGCCGTGGGCCCCGGCGCCGCGCAGCCCACAGCGCCGCACAGCGCCGCACAGCGCCGCACAGCGCCCCGCGGGGCACAGAAGTGGGTCACCGGAAGTGTGTGTCTGCGCAGATAACCCGAACGGAATATATGCGCGCGCCGCCGCCATCCACCGCCTGCACCGCCTGGCCGAGACAGTTGTTTGCCCGCTGATGATGTGCAGAGTGGCCGGCGCCGAGCCCTCCGACGTGGCCGCGTCGCCGCCATCCTCGGCGTCACTTTGTGAACGGCCGAACGAACGGTCACACGCGTGGTCGTGTGTGGTCCGGCAAGGGGCCGTCCTCGAGCGCTGACTCGCGGTGTGGCGGTCTCGCGCGCGGCACTGCTGAAAACCGTCAATGGCTGGTCGCCGGTTCACGGCCGCGTCCCGCGTCGCCGCGCGCGTGGTCATGCTCCGCACCGTTATGGTCACGTCGCCCCCTCGGGTGCCAACCTTCTCGGCGCGCAGTTTGATTTGATTACATGAAGCGCCTCGCCGCTGCTCGGTGTCGCGGCGCGTCGCGGCGCGTCACCGGGAGATGTGGCCGCCGAGAGCGCCAACGAGACCCCCCGCGTCGCGCCGCGCCGCCGTCCTCCCTGTCGCTTGCTGTCGCTTGCTGTCGCCCATTCTCGGTGTGCGAGAGAGATGCCACCGCGCTAGTTCGCTAGTTCGGCCCTGGCGCACGCGCGCGCGACAAGGCGTGCCCGACGGAGAAAATGTTGCACCACCTTGAATCGGAATAAGGATTCATGCCTCGCGGTGCCCGACCCGGCGCGGCCCAGGGCGGCGAGGTAGTCCCACGCACACGCCGACACACGCACACGCACGCACACGGCACGCGGCCTGCCTACATTCGACATTCGGCCATTCGGCACGGCGGATGGATGAGTTACGGCCGTTTTGGCAGCCAGGCTTGCAGCCAGGTGTCCGGGCCGTCCGGGCCGTGTTTCGGAGCGGCCGGCTTGTTCGCGAGCTGGTCACAATGACCCTCCGCCACCTCCTCCTCCCCGCCGGCCACTCGGCCACCGCCGTGCCGCCGTGATGGCGTGGGAACCGCGAGGCTGACCCCTTGCCGGCGGATTCGCAACACACGCGCCTAAAATCGTCGTCGACGTCGTCGCGGTCGTCGTGGTCCCCCTGCATCAGCGGCCCGGAGTGCCCCGTCCGTCCGGCGGCACCATGGCGGCACCATGGCGGCACCGAGGTAGACCAAGGCCGCTGGGACTGCAGTGCACTGCATCGCCCGGCCCGCTTTGTGGAGGAAGTGCCCGCCGGTCCTGCGGCGAAGGACGGCCAAGCCGCCGCCCGCCCCGCCCCGCCCCGCCCGGCGCTCCTTGCTTCCTGATGGCTGGCCTTCCGAATTGACCCGACCGGCCCAGACATGTGATCCATGAGGACAAGTACGCCCCGCCCGGGTGGCCCGGCCGGCCCAGCCCAGCCCGTGCCGAAGGCTCCCCGCTGTCCGAAGCCCCGGACTAGACCCGGTGCGGCGCGAACCCTTCATCGGGACCTCTTTTCTTCGACCGGCCTCGATTCTGCCTCTGGCCGCGCCGCGCCTCCTCGCTGCAGGCCCTGCAGGCCCTGCAGGCCGTCATCAGGCTAATCAGTCCAGTCCGCGGACGGCGAAGCGACGAGGCGGCTAGCCAAGATGCACCGCCCCACTTCCCAAATGGCCCTGCCGAGCCAATCCGGGCAGCATCGCCTCGTCGCTCTGTCTCTGTCGCACTCGCGGGGCGTCTCGTGAGGGTGCGAGAGAGACAGAGCGATGGCTCGGCTGCGCGGCCTCCGCCATGCGGCTGCCCTAGGACTCTGGGATCCGCCGCTCCGCCGCGCTCTCCGCCTCGCCCCTCGTTCAAGTCACCAGCGGGTCCACGCAGCAACCGGCAGCAACGCGCAGCGCCGCGCGCCACGGAGGCTCAAAGTGGGCCGCAAATCTACCGCAAGCTAGGCGCACGCACGCACGCACACACACACACACGCACAGACGCTCGGGGATTCGAACCCGGGCCCGTGGCGGGATGTCCGCTCCGCGGCGCTTTCTCTGACTGAGGTGCATCCGATGCGACGGCGACGTGCGCGACGTGTGCGACGCCGCCGGATCCACTTTTGCCGGCTTTTGCTGCTCGTCGCTCTCGGCTTGCTCTGTGCGGGGCCGGACGGAGCGGACGGAAAGAGTGGACGAGTCCGGAAGCAGCGTGCGGCCCGCCGTGCGGCCCGGTCTTGTTGGTCTTGTTGTTCTTGGCGTGGCCGCGTGGCCGAGTCGCCGCGTCGCCGTTCACGGCCGCCCCGCCCCGGTCAGTCATTCTCGGTCATTCTCATTGGCAGTCGCCGCCGCCCGCCCCGCGCCCCGCGCCCCGCGCCCCGCCGCGCGGCAGGTCGAGTCGAGATTAATTTAATTCCCGTGTGTTGGTTTCAATACGCGCGCTGGATTGGCCTCAGCCGCTGCACCTCCACGCAGCAGCGCAGCACGCGGCCTACAAAGTGATTCCGAACAGTGCCTCGTCGTCCTGTCTCCCTCGCTCCGCTCCTCTCCGGGACGGGGCGCCTCCCGAGTGCGAGAGAGACGGCGAGTGCGCTGCGCGCAAAGTGCACCGCCTTGCACCTGTTTGGCTCAAACCGCTCGGCGCGTCACTTATCGTCCGGGCTTATCGGGGCGAGCGTTGTCTGCGAGAAAGGCGCCGAATAGAATAGAACTGTCCAGATAAACGCCCCGCGTCGCGCCGCACTCACACTGCACACACACACATGCACGCACATAGACTCTGTCTCTCTCTCTCTTTCCCACGACGGCCATCGCCACGCGCGGCGGGAAGCGACAACAATGCAATGAGTTTACTTTCCTCTGCTCCTCGCTGTAAAAGCGACAGTGGCGTCGCGAGGCCGTCATAAGGATTGCGTGGCGAACCGGACGAAGACGAACACCGCCACGCCGGCCGCGTCCGCGTGCATGTCGGCGACCGCGGGCCGCAGTGCGAGCCGCGGACCGCGTCAGCGACCCTGTAACTGTTCCGTCCAGTATTGTCGCACCGCGCCGCCGCCGCACTGCGCCGCACCGGCCGGACGCATTCGGATCACGTCCTTTGCTCGCATTAGCGGCCCGGCTCGGCTCGCCATGGCCCCGGCTGGGCTCGGCCGGACTCGACTCGGCTCGGACACGGGCAGCGTGGCGGCGGGGCACCGCGGAATAGATCGCACCGAGCTGCGCGCCGCGCCGCCTTGTCGCCCGTGACCCGGAGTAGATCGCCGCGCGCCGCCACCGCGCCGACACCGCGCCGCCTCCCCCGACACGCACACACGCACACGCCGCTCGGTCTTTCTCGATTTCATTCGGATCCTACACGTCGGAGGCTGCCTGTCTCTCCCCGGCGCAGAAAGCAAATGGATTGCCGACACGCACATAGATCCGCGCTACGGAATTTTTCTATCCTTCAGTGAGCGGATTGGATGCCGCGGTTCGGTCCGGTCCGGTCCGGTCGGTCCGCGCGCCCGGCCGCCTGATGACCGTCTTCATCTCCGTGTCGGCCCTTCCTGGTCGCGGGCCTCGCGGGCCTCGCGGGCCTCGCGGACGGCGGCCCGTAAGTGATGGCAGTGTTTTCGGCGGCAAGCCTCGCGGAGGATTCCCTGGGGATGGGGGGGGGGAGGGGGGAGGGGGATTCGGGGGATCCTGATGACGGCGCGGCGCGCGGCGCGCAGCCAATTTGAGCGCGTGGTCGCGCCTCCTTACTTTGTACCATCTAGCTTCCAGCGTCTTCCCCGCGGCCGCGGTTCGTAGTAATGTGCTCGCCGGCCGCGGCTGGCCGCCGAAAAGCGTGTGCGCCCCGCGCCGCGTCAGACAGACGGCACGCCGAAAGGCCCGGAACACTTTGGAATCCCCGCCACGTGGAATTTCCCGGAATTCCCACTGGCGTGATCGCGCACGCGAAAAAACACGCACCGCCTCCCGCCGCGCCGTCCGCGTGTCCGGCGAGGAGCACGAAGCGGCGTCCACCCACGCGCACGACATGCCCGCCAGCGCGTCGCTCTGTCTCCCTCGCCCCCTCCGGGACGCCCCATGAGTGCGACAGAGACGGGAAGATGGCTCGGAATCGCTCGGCAGGCCGCGCCCCGCGCCCCGGGCTGGGCCGGGCTGGGCTCGCCGCCAAGACCAAGACGCCTGCTCCTCAGTATGGCCGACCCGCGCCGCGCGGACAAGCGTGCGCCAGCGTGCGCCAGCGCCGCCGTGATTTTGACGGGCGCATTACAGGGGACGTGCCCGGCTAACGCCTGGCTAACGCCGGGCTAACGCTTCCGCGGCGGGGCGGGGCGGGGCGGGGCGGGGCGCACCTGCGCCGCACGCAAAGCACGCCGCGGTGGAGGCAGACGTCTTATTACCGGCCGGACCGCAAGAGGTTTGTCTGCCTCGTCGTGCCGTTGCTCTGGTGTGTTACTTTCGTTCGTCCCATCAAAGCAAAGCCCCCGGACCGCGTCCCGTCCCGTCCCGTCCCGTCCGTGAGGTCACCCCCGAGCCCGGCCCGGCCCGGCCCGGCGTCGACGTGGCCAGGACGTGGCGTCGTCGGCCACCGTTGCCCGTGATTGGCAGATTCATTCAAAGTACTGTACACTCCCGACGATACTCGCGGGGTGCGACCGGGCTAGGCGGGCCGGGCGGCGGACCAGACTCGGCGGCCCACTGCTCTGGAGAAGTCGATCATCCCGGAAAAGAAAACAAGGCACTAATGGCGGCGACTTCATTCAGTGCCGGAAACTGGGTCAAGGTCGCCGAGGCCCCTCACCGGAATCGAGACGGAAATAGAGCCCTGTTTTAAGGCATTCGCATCGACATGAATCCAAACTTGATCAGTGGACTTGTGCCGCAGTACGAACTTTCCAGGCGCGGCTTCAGGATCCACCCTCCTCAAGGACACCTAGATAGCCGCCTGAAAGGTAGGCAATAGTCCTGCTTTGCCCCTTTAAGAAGTCAAAGAGTGCTGCTTTGCCCCCCTCCCCCAAAAAAGGCCACCTCTGGATCCACCTCTGGTACTTCCAGAGCCATCCCGGCCTAGCTTCTCCCCGAAACACTTAACCATGCCGGAGATGGGCGGCGCCGAGGAGGCGCACCCTTCCGCCTCCATCGGGTATGCAGCACGCAGGACCGCGGCTTGACTCGCCGTCCGCGGAATGGCAACGGGTGACGCCGCCGACGCTACGACGCCGAGCGGCGTGCCGATCCGACGGCAGTGCTGACGGTGCCGACATGACGGCAGCGACCAATCAAGCCGGCACATTGTCACGAGCGACCGCAAACCGCCCCTCGGCGGCCCGATACCGAACAGTGCTTTCGTCGCGCTGTCTCTCTCGCACCCTCCGCGGGACGCCCCGTGAGTGCGAGAGAGACAGCACCACCCCGCTCGGAATCAGCCCGCTGTGTGCGCAGGTGTGTTTGACGCGGCGCCGCGCGGACTGCGTCGGAACCGTATTACTACTCGCGCGTGCCCCCGACTGTCATTCCAAAGTTATTCGCGTCCCATTGTCTAAAATACTTCGGGGAGTGGCTCAGGCTGCACCGCGTTGCTCGCCCCAAACCGCCCTGCAACGGACTTGGCTGCGAACGCCACCCGACGCCACCATGGAGCAGAATCCAACCGTCCTTCGACGGCCCGTCAAAGTGTTCACTGCACGTCGCGGGCCCGGCAGACTGATTCCGCGCCGCGTTCCACAGTGCGAGAGAGACAGAGCGGCAGGATGGCGCCCTTGGCGGCGTTGTCCGGCTTTGTCCCTCGCACGCGCGACCCGCCTTTATCGCCTGGCTATCACGCTAATAGGCGGCCAGAAGGCGGACAGGCCCTGAACCATCCAGACGTGTTAGAGCCCTTGGCCCTGCCGTGGCGCGGCGGCCCCGGCGAGCGATTCGACTCGCAGTCTCTCGGCACTCTAGTTGTGGCACGGCGTAGAGGGAGGGGGCCCGGCCCACCGCGGGGCCCACGAGGTGCGATTTACAGCGCGACAACAACACGCCCGGCCGAATAGCGCCCTACACGTCAAGCCGCCCCGCACTCTAAATTTGTCGTCAGGTGTTCGCGGCCGCGTCGAGCTGTTCTTTCACAACGTGCGATGGATTGCGACGACCTCTCAAGTCGCGCGGGGATTTGAGATTTAAGGCGGCTTTGTTAACGAGACCAGGGACCGAGCGGTGCCGCCGGGGAGATCAGCAGCTGAAGACTGAGCAGCCTTGCTTACATGTACAAGCACAGGCACGCGGGCGAATGATAACCCACTTTAATGCCTGTGTGCTCACGACGTCGCGGGGTTCAGACATGGTTTAGATAGTCCTGCTGCTGGAGCAGCTCGTAAAGTGGCGGGGCGCCCTGGCCTCCCCGGGCGTGGAAGCGCCGTCAAATGGCGCCCGTAAGCGTGACCGTGTGGAAGCGCGGTCAAATGGCGCCCAGTGAAACATTGTTGGAAGACGGCCTCTGGCGCGGAAGCGCGCGGTCAAATGGCGCCTGGCGATACAAGAAACTCTGTGAAATGGCGCCAGGCGTGACCGAGCAGAAGCGCAGTCAAATGGCACCAAACAAACGTGGGGCGAAATGGAACGACGGGAGCGTGCGAGAGCGCTACTTCGAGTGGCACTGTTGCGGAGCCCCGACACATGTAAACGCTACAATTGGAGGGTCTGGGCCCGCTTATCTGTTTGATTGACAGTTAATTATCGAACACGATGTTGCGACTCTCACCCCGTCGATAGGCCAGTAGGATGGTTTTCACTTTCCGAGGAATGTGTCCGGGATGTTATCCTGAGGACCTGGCCAAGATACCTATCGCTGTTGTCATGCAGTGTTCGCAGCCCGCAGCATCTATAGTAGGGTGGCCAGAAAAATTTAAACTCAAAACGACGATAAAATTTTTTAAAGAGTATAGTTTTGGGGAAATGTCAGGTCACGGTGGGGAAGGAAACTTTCAAGTGGATATATTTTTTCGCAAATAATGGCCAAATAAACGCAAATTGCCGTGATAAAGTTCCAGAATGATAACAGTGTACTCGGACTCGGAGTGGAAAAATCCAAGACCGGACTGCCCGCTTTATGAAGAGAGCTGCTGCGACAGCCGCGGGCACAATAAAAAGGATCAGGCTGACTATCGGAAGGCAATCCTGGGCAATAGAGTGAGTGAGGCGGCGCCACAGCCACACTGTGGAATTGGTCCCTTTGGCGCCTCGGCGTGCCCAGTGCCCAGTGGTGCCCACCCGGCCGAGTGAGCGACCGTGAAAATTGCCATAGCGCTCAAAATCGAATCGGCGCGGAACGAGAATACCACACAGATCGGTGGCGATTTCAATAAGTGGCCTCTGAGGTTGACAAGTGTCCACGCCGAGGTCCCCGCCTCCTCGCCTTACTCCGGCCTCCCCGAGTGCAACAACATCGGGCTCCTCGGTGGGGTTAGTTTGCTCTGCCAGTTTGTCACTACGTGGACTGTTTTCATCGTTTCGCGTAATCCTATGCTTTCCTGGTCCACTTTCACAAAGGAAACAAGGGAGATAACCAGTACTATCCCCCTGATCCTCCTAGCAGGCGCCACCCCGTCACCACGCTGGCGTGGCGTGGCTTATCAAGCGACACGGTTGTGTCGCACGCCGCGGTATCAGCGTCGGTAGCCCAAGGGTAAGCCGCGACAAATCACGTGCAAAGGATACACACCGAGCACGTCACACACGGCACTGCGGGAAAACCGAGCCAGGCCACGCCTGCTCTGCCGATCGAAACGAGATGCAAGACGTATGCACTAGTTATCGAAACTTACAGTTCGGCTGGCATTCCCACGTGAGTTATGTCACTCGCAGTGCACGCATTAGCGGTGTGGGACGGATCGACTCGACAGGCGTTTTTCTCGACCAGTGCGCCGTAACGTCAACATGACGTCCAAACGGTCACCGAAGTGCCTTATTTTTCTTACAACTGCAGTGGACCAACCAAACCACACTGCTGCATGAAATGTTGCAAGGTAGTCAAGCTCGTGCGACAAATGGTCGGATAAATTTTGTCGCACTGGCCAAAGTAATTATGCTTATAATCTTTTGGAGCGAAATAGAGCAGAATACAATCAATTTTGTAAATAAGTTTTTTGATTTTTTTTGTAAAGGTGACACAATTATCATACATAGTAGGTCCCGTCACTCGGAGGTCATGCACTGGCACACACAGAGTTCACATCACGCGCGACGCTACTTACTTTTCGCCATGGCTGCTCCGTTTTCTGTTCAGACACCCGCGAAGGAGGTGGAAGGTCGAAGGCCGGCGGCCGGTCCAAGGGCGGGAAGGGCGGCGAGGGCGCACTGCGTTAGGGGCGGCTAGACTGGGGGGCTGGAGGGCGAGGGCCGCGGGGGCGCAGCACTCTCAGTCACTCACTCGGAGAGGACGCGGCGGGAACTGGCACCTCAGCACCTCGCCGGCCCAGCAAGCGGCCCAGGCGCAGCGCGGCACCGGGTCCGCGGGGCAGAGCCGGGCAGAGCAGCCGGGCCGGGCCGGGCCGGGCAGGCAGGGCAGGGCGGCCCGCGGCGTGGGGGTGGGGAGGCGCATGAATGAGATACCCCTTCCCAGCGCGTGCGAGAGAGAGGGAGGCAGAGGCCCGGGGTAAGGGGGAGCGAGCGAGAGAGACAAGAAACCGCGGGACGCGACGCGACGCCGCGAGTGAAACCGATGCCGCCGTCCATCACGTCCTGGCCGGCCTGCCTGCCCTGCCCGCCTTCTGCAGAACCATTTTCGCAGCGCGATGGGAATCGCCACAATCGGCGCTCGAAAAGGGAGCGGTAGTAAAAGGAAAGCCCGATGACCCACCCGCCGCGGCGAGGCCTGGGCAGGCCTAGCGAGGCCCGGCCAACGCGGCGACAGCGGGAAAACGGAAAACTGACCATTGTTCTTCGTCTCGTTTCGCTCTTGTCCCGGGACTCTGGGGATGACGTCCGGATGACCCGGATACCCGGATCGCAGCCTGCGTCGCAGGCAGCCTCGGATTTATTCGGTCAGGCCCAGCCAGCCAGCCAGCCAGCTCGTCCTGTCCACACATCGCCACACATTCTCCGCGAAGAAGAGGGGGGGGGGCGAACCGGGACCGCAGCTGCTGAATAGGGCCATAGGGCAGCCATAGGGCAGCCAGGCTGGTCCTTGGGTTCCGTTAGGGCGGGACTGGAAGCGCGGGTTCGAACAGGCGCGCCGACACACTCACACACTCGCACGCCGAACGGGCCGTCATTACTCCAGAGTGCAACACTAAGGCACTCTGGCAGTGTACCGCGGGAACACTCTCCTTCTTTCGGGCAGGATCGCTATCTCGTGGAGCACCTTCGCAGATACGATAGGCAAAAGGTAAGATGGTGTACCTGGCCGAGTGCACTTTAAGTTAGTGCCGGTCTGTGGTGGGTACCGGCAACAGGGGCCGGACTCGCTGCTCGATTTTCGCACGGTAAACGAAACTGATCACCATCATCACCATCGCTGTTAGCCTCTCGCTCAGGACGGTATTTAGGCAGATGCAACTAAATGGGTTTAGCAAGCGAGTCGTTTGAAGATGTGCACGGGCGGTAGAGCCCTAGGCCCGGCAGGAGAGGGCGGCCTTTACACTCCAAATAGAGTCCTATGCCCTTTGGGGAGAACCGTCAACTGCGTTACTGACTTCTGACCGATTTGGTGCTCATACTGACGATCAAAATGTCCGCCGAGCGCTTCCGCTTCCGGCGGGGATTTTAAAAATTCAGCAGTGAGCCTCAAAATGGCTTCACTATTTATCTCCGGCATTCAAGGGATCTTCAATGAACTAATTTAAAGAGGTGAGGAAGTTTTTAGGCCTATTGCAAGCGCTGTCAAGTTGTTGACCTCACGAGGCCGGAGCAGACGACACACATCAAGGAAAGCGACGCCATTTTGATCGTCAGTATATGAGAATCGCGCATAAAATTTCGGATATATGAGAAATAAAACGTAACACTTTTCAAGTTGACGGTTCTCCCCAAGGGGCCTTTAGGACTCTAACTCCAAACGACGGCGCTGACGAATTTTCCATATCTGTCAGGCGTCGATGGTCGAATTGGGCGTGACAGTGTTCCGGCAAGCGTGGCGCGGCGTGGCGCGGCGTGGCGCCCCTGACCCATTGCACCGCGGTCCGTGGGTCTACGGGTCCGCGGGTCCGCCTCGCAGCCTCACCTAGGTCAACATGGACCACTTCCGGCCACGTTCCGTTTTCATTTTAATTGCTGGTAAAGTAGACGGCGGCGACCGGCCCACACACCAGGCCGAGTGCTTTCGTCCGCGCCGTCCCTCTCGCCGTCACGGGCCGGGCACAGTGGGCCAGAAGCAGCCAGAAGACCGGTGGAGGCGGCCAAAACTCTAGACGCGTTTTCAGCTGCAGAGTCGCTAAACAGGACTGGAACCGAACGTGTGACCCCACCAATGGATTCCTCGTTCAGAGAGCAATCCATTGATGGGGTCACCGGTTCGAGTCCCATTTAGCGACTCTGGAGCTCAATACGCGTCTAGAGTTTTGGCCACCTTCACCGGTCGTCTGGCCCACTGTGCCGGGCCGTGGGGGCGCGAGAGAGACAGCGCGACGAAACGCACTGCTCGGAATCGGACCGGCACAGTTAGCAAAACAAATGAAGAACCGCGCCGCTCCGCCATGGCTCCGCCGCTAACGAAGAGAGTTCCTCGGCTCCTCGTTGACGTTGTTTTTGCCGTCGCGGTGGATCGGAGTGCCGCGCTGCGCACTTCTAGGCCAATTACCACCGGAGAGGAAGCACCAGTCATCTGGGAGCACGGCCAAATTGGCAGCCTATCATCAAGCCCATGTCCTGGAAGGCGGCACTAAAAACCGGCGGTGCGGCACCAGCGGGCACCAGGCACCGACACGAGGTGGACGACGGCCGTCCTGGCGGTGGCGGTGACGCCGTCGGCGTGCGCGGGGCCGTGCCGTGTCCTGTCAACGCGAATAATAAGCAGCCGCCAATTACAAGCACGGCCGACACTGCACTGGCGGGCGCCGGCGCCGTCGAGACAGCCTACGGCGGCCTACGGGGAAGTGGGTGGCGGGCTGGCGGATTGGCGGATTCCGTGTAAACAATGAGAGAAGCGTCTGCGGCGGCGTCAGCTTCCAGGAGGAATCGCCGCGAAACAACAAGCTTGCGCACGCAGAGAGAGACGGACGGACACGCCGCCGACAGGTTTTATGGCCAGTTGCGATGAGGATCAAAGAGGTAAAAAGAAGCGAGCACTCTACATATTTCGTTTATGCAATGTGGATACGCGTGGTTCATGCGCAGTTCATTGCAACGACACTGTGCGGGCGGGAAAAAGAAACCGCTACGTCGCGCGTCGCGCCCCTGTGGACTCAACTTCGAGATCTCGATCCCTAGTCTTTACAGTTGCACCAAACTCAGAAAACAAGTTTAATTTTTTTCTAATTTCTCTGTTGATTTTTTCCTGACATTTTTCGTGAGGAGGGGGCCCGGCGAGTGTGTGAGTTCACCGTGGCGAAATCTAACAATATCTGCCCGGATTATAATCCGCGCAAAATGCTAATGTAATCGGAAACCATACATGGCGCCGCGACCTCTAACCTCAACTCGAGTTTCCCGCGCCTGATTGCATTGCGCGCTCTTCCAAATCGGTGCATGATGTCCGCCGTGGCCGTGGCCGGCCGTGGCCGTGGCGGGGGACGGGGCGGGGACGGGCAGGGAGGCGTCGCGACGCCTCGCGTCGTGGCCAGGCGTTGTGGCCAGGCGTTAATCGTTCCCATAATCCCCCCACCGCGCGGCCCGTTCGTCGCTTCTGGAAGTTGGAGCGGAATCGGGAAATTAACAGCAACACGCCATTGTCTGCGGCCACGTCGTGCCACGTCGTGAGCGCCGCGGCGAGTGTGTCGTGTATTGGTCGTGTACCGCGCACGTCAAAAAGGCGATAAGGCGGTGTTTGTTAGCGAGTGGGAGGGAAGGGTGGCACTGCATTAAGCGGCCACTTCGGCGGATTTAACACTCGGCCGCCGCCGGCCGGTCCGCGAGATGACCTCAGACCTCAGGCAGGTGTGCATCCGGACCGGGCGAGCGGCAAGCGAAACTACTCGGGTTCCCAGACCAAGACGAAGCTCTGCTCGCTCTGCTCCAATTTGGATTCGATTTTAGTGCCGCTTTTCTACCGGCGACTGAGGCGAAGCCCAAATGGCTGGCGGAAAATGAGTTCCGGAGCAGACGACGTGGATTCCCACGATGCCCATCTCCGTGGACGCGTTCTCTCCGCTTCGGCGGCAGGAAGCTGTCCGGTGGCAGGCAGTGGCAGGCCGCCGCTAACGCAGCGACACTGCGACACCGCAGCTAAGTCCCACTCTAGGACCCTCACTGCAGCAACGGTAGCAAGGAAGCGCCTGCAGACTGCGGGGCGGGCCGTCCCGTTCAGCAGCGGTGTTCGGCGGGCTGGCCTACCCGGCCGGGCGGCCCACGCGTCTGTCAGCATGCGGCTGGCCGCTGGTCCAAAAGGGAAGTGTTACCTTTATCGGCATGATGCTGGCCTCTGCTCCAAAAAGGAATTACCTTTATCAGCGTGCGGCTGGCCACTGGGCCGAAAAGGTTTGAATGGGGTCGGCGGCGCGACAGTGCACTGCTCTTGTCCGATTTGATCGGCGCCATCTCAGTCCACGTCGCGGGGCGCGGGGCGCGGGGCCAGGACGGGGGTCGGCGGGAGGCGGCAGTGCGACCGAACGCCCTCACTCACTCATGCACGGCCCCGGCCGGCCCCGGCCCCGTGGCGCGCTGGCGGCGCTGGCGGCGGCTGCGGCGGGGCGAGGAAGGCAGGCAGGGCAGGGCTGGCGTGGCTGGCGTGTGGCTTGACTTGCGCGCCGGAGTCAACCCGAGGACACCCGGTTAGGTTAGGTCGCGCAGGCCCGGCAGGCCCGGCAGGGGTCGCCATGAAATACGGAGCAAAGCGGGACAAAGCCGGGGGCGTCCGCAGCCTCGCGCCCCGCCACGCCCCGCCACGCCCCGCCACGCCCCGCCACGCCCCGTGCGTGGTTCCGGCCGGGCCCGTCCGTCAACGCCGTCAACGCGCAGGATGACCTGCGGCGCGCGGCGGCGCGCTTCCCCGGTCGACGCCTCCACTTGGTGCGGTCGCGACGGGGGGGTGTCTGGTCCGCGGCGGCGGCGTTTTACCGACGCACCCCGCCGCGGTGCGCGGCCGGCGTCCCGGCGTCGCGGACCCCTTCGCGCGCCAAGCGGAGCAGGGGCCGCTGAGGCGCTGGAGTGGCTGCGGCGCGGAGGTCGCGGCCACAAAGTGGTGCTGGGGTAACGAACTCGCTCGAACCTGGCCTGGCGTCGCCTGGCGCAGCGCGGCGCGGCATGACACGTGAAATGCAGTACTGCCCCACCGGCCGCCGCGGCCCGCCCTCTGGAAGTACACTGCC